AACAAAACCTATTAATATTATTAACTAAAAACACCAAAACTAACGACTCATGACCACGTTATTGCGTCTTCATCGTCGGTATCATCACCTTCTTCTTCAACATCGCCAACACCAACGATGACAAACATCATCAAATTTTAAAACTTGCAGAAGCTTTAATTTTGATCCCTAAAAATCGAATGCTCTGATACCATGTAAAATTCGGGTTTATTATGGGCTTCCAACTTAAAACCAATTGGTGATTAGTGGATTGGCTCCAACCCAGTAGTAGATTAATTCTTATATTTCCGATGTGGGATGTTTCTCATCAATACCCTCCCTCACGCTCAGACATCTCTAGGTCTGAAGCGTGGACAATGTGGGAATAACATCCACAGAGGGCCCAACATCGGTATGTAGTAGTTGTAGTAAATTAGGTCAAAGGATCTTATCGCTCTGATACCATGTTAGCTTTGGGTTCTATTATGGGCTTCCAACTTAAAACCAATTGGTGATTAGTGGATTGGCCCTAACCCTTTATATATTACTTAAGGTCCCACTGAATTCCCGATGTGGGATATATTCGGAATTTTAAGACATTTATACTCGGTCGAGCGAGTCAAGTACGACAATTATACCTAGTCGGAAGGTTAAACACGACCTATATACCCGGTCGGAAGGGTTAATCAATTAATTAGGAGTTTCGGGTTTTTTTTCGGATCTGGGCTCTGATACCATGTTAAAAATCAGTAGATTAATTTTAAAACTTGCAGAAGCTTTAATTTTGATCCCTAAAAATCGAATGCTCTGATACCATGTAAAATTCGGGTTTATTATGGGCTTCCAACTTAAAACCAATTGGTGATTAGTGGATTGGCTCCAACCCAGTAGTAGATTAATTCTTATATTTCCGATGTGGGATGTTTCTCATCAATAGATCAAAAGATGCATGGCTGATTCTAAGACTTGTAGGTTTGGTCCTCGTGACGTTCACTTTGACGATAAACATCTCTCGAGTGTAAAGGTATGTGTGTTGTTATTGATACAATCTTTAGCCTAAAAAAAACATGTTAAAATTCGTCTCTATAACAGTTAGATTTTATGAAATTTGATGCTTAAGAGTAATTCAACCATTGTAGTTGATCAGTGTCTAGGTGGACGTCAAAACACTACTTAAACTGATTTTTAACCGTTTTAAGAAATAGATTTTTAAAACTTATGTTACATCTGGATGTGTAATTTCTCTACACTAGTAAAAGTCCAGCTATCAAAGTTGACATATGGGGAATGCGGGGGGGCCCCCGCGGTAGGGTAGGTTTTTTCGGTTTAAAAAAAATTACTTTTTATAAATAAGTATAGGATTTTATAGGAAAAAAAATTAAATTTTGAAACTATTACAAATATGGATCTAAAAGATTCTAAAATTATTCACTACAATAATATACAAACTCTAAATAGGTATTTGTCTTAATTCGTTTTGTTCTCTCTGTTTTTCTTCGAGTTGATTAGCATTTTTTCACAACACACTACTAATTCACAAACTTGTAGTTAATGGAATTCTTGAATTTTAACAAGATGTAACTGAATAATTATTTGGCACGCCCAACGTTTATGGATGATCTGCGAAAGATTAAAGAAACAAAACTAATTTTTTTTTTTTTTTTGGAAAAACAAAACAAAAATGTTTATGCTTAGTAATTTTTTTTTTTAATTATGTTTGGTAGTTATTACATATGTAGAGTAACATATGTCTTGTTTTTAATTCTTGTACTCAGTTCGGATGTTGTCGACCACCAGTAGAATGTGGCTTCGAGTCAAAGAATGCGACGTGGTGGATAGTTCCGGCGACGTCAACAGCAGAGATCACTGGGGACTGTAAAACGTGGAGTAACACGCAGAGCCAGTTGTGTTATGCGTGCGAATCGTGCAAGATAGGAGTATTTAAGGGTATAAGAAAAAGATGGAGGATTCTTCTCGTCTTCAATCTCCTTGTTACTCTTCTCGTCGTCTTACTTTACTCATGTGGCTGCTGTGTGAGGCATAACAATAGGGTTCCATGGAAGCGCAGATTCTTCTAATAGAACTCTTCATCTTTTTTCTTTTTCTTTGAAATATGGACGTGATGTTTGATATTTCTTGAATATCGGTTAGTCCGGTTTGGTTATATCAATGTGTGCATGCATTGATGGAAATAAACAGTACGATGATCTAAAACCTAACATGTTAGACCATCTCAAACAATAGATATAGTATTAGAATTATAAATCAATTTTTAATTGAAAATAATAAAATTAAAAAATTTAGATACTTGTTTAGTTTTAACCACTCTAATCAGTCGTAGATCCGAGGATTAAATTTAACATAAGTCAAACTATGTACATAAAAAGATAAAAAGGAAAAATAAGTAAAATGAGTCTCTAAGAGGCTACAAACTCTGGTTTAGGGGGATCAGATGCTCTACATTACCAGGAGAACTACTGATTTTTATTGTTTTCTATGGATAAAACTATATTTATTCAGATTTAAGGGGCTGCAAGTGTCACCCCCTTGATGTATGTAGGTCCACCACTAACTCTAACGATAGAATCAATTAAAGGTTTTTAAGTTTTAAAAAAGAAAAAAAAAAGAGAAAATAATGGATGTAAATTCTTTTTTTTTCTCTTAAAAACACTAATCAATTAGAAAGTGATACCATGAGATAGAATCTTCTTAGAATTTCAAAAATTCCATTTTTAGAATCATATCTATCTATATTTTTTTCTTTTTAATTTAATTTTGAGCATATAATTAGATAAAACCTCGCCAGATACCTCATCAGAGATGGTCTTACCTTATGAACATTTTGCGAAATAGACAAATTATGTGAAAATATATCTAGATGTGAAGATGATTTTGATTTTTGTTTTAGATGTGCGTACGTACAATATACAACAATTTGGATATACAATTCCCATAATTTGGAAGTAATAAATTCGTTTCATCATTTTAAAAACATAATTCAGATATTCGAATGTATTTGCATAAACATCATACATATATATATATATATATATATATATTATTTATTTTTTGAAACTCATAAACATGATATATATAAGTTGATTTAGATATTTATCCACTTAAGGTAAGATCCTCATCAATTTGATTCAATATTTTAACAGAGCCAGCAAATGTTGTAGAACTTAAGTTCAATTTCCGGCGAGACCAGGTACAAGAAAGAAACACAATGTCTAGAACAAAAGGCAACCTACTTGAGGAAAGTACAAGAAAGAAACAGAAACACATAAGCAACCAGTGACGTTAGAAGCTCCAGTCCCCATGCCGGGTTAATCAAAACCGTCGGAATCATCGGAATGATTAACGAAGCGCAGAACCACCCTGCCGCTAATGCACCAAATCTGCAACCATAACAACCAAACCCCAATCAAATGATTAAAAGAACAATCCTTCATTAAATTTCTGTCTCAGTTTAATCCAATAGCACCATGAGTTTACCCGATTAAGCAAGCTCTCCCCAAGCTCTTCGTCTTCTCATTCAGGAAATATACGCAAGCAGCCAACGACACCGCCACCTACAAGTATAAAATCCAATATCATAATCTCAAACCATTCAAAACAAGAATCGTCCACTTTATCAATGTATCTGCAGTTTGCTCTCATACTAAGACTTGCTACTAGATTAGATTCTCTAAAAGACTTCGTCCACTTTATCAATACATCTACACTAATATTCCTAGTGTACATAAAGCTAAGCTAGATTACATCGTCTCTAAAAGATTGATCTTATACTAAGACTTATAGTGTAGATTAGATTGTGTCTAAAAGACTCGTCCACTTTATCAATGTATCTACACTAATATTCCTAGTGAACATAAGCTAAGCTAGATTAGGTTGTCTTGTCTCTAAAAGATTGATCTTATACTAAGACTTACAGTGTAGATAAGCTATAAGCTAGATTCTGATCGTCTCTAAAAGATTGTAGAAGCAAGCAAACCCGAAACGCAGGACTGTTTTCTAGGGGTGGGCGCTCGGGTACCCATTCGGGTTCGGTTCGGATCTATTCGGGTTCGGTTCGGATCTATTCGGGTTTCGGGTTTTCGGGTTCACAAATATTAGCTCCATTCGGATATTTCTAAATTTTGGTTCGGGTTCGGTTCGGATCTTTGCGGGTTCGGTTCGGGTTCGGATAACCCATTTAAATTCTTTTTAAAATTTTAAAATTGATTATATACTTTCAGTTTCTAAAAATTTATAAACAAAATAATATATTACAAATAATTGAATAACATAAGTCAAAATATCTAAAATTAACATATAAATTAGTTTGATTTGAATATTTGGATTGTGAATCAATAAATTTTTTTAAGTATTTTTGATGTTTTGAGTGTACTTTAGCAATTTTAGACATGTATGTTTGACTATTTACATATATTTACAACTATTTTGAGTAACTTCAAAGTATTTTATATATATACTGTATGTTTTATATATATATTAAATCTAAAATAATTAATATATATAGGTATATAAATCTCTTTCGGATATATTCGGGTACTCGAAATACTTCGGTTCGGGTCGGGTTCGGTTCTTTAAATACCAAAATTTTGAACCCATTCGGATATTGAATCAATTTCGGTTCGGGTTTGATACTACTTTTTCGGATCGGGTTCAGTTCGGTTCTTCGGATCCGGGTTTTTTGCCCAGCCCTACTGTTTTCTATCTATCTATCTCCATGTTGATCTAATACTAAGACACCTAGCATAGATAAGCTAAGCTAGATCAGATTACTGTAGAAGCAGGGCAAAACCTGAAAGGCAGGACCGCCTTCTGCAGAGTTCATGATACTCCAACCACCCATAAACGCAAAAAGAAACAACCTTCTGAAAACAGTATCCATCGTAGGCATCTCAACGAAATCAAGAAGAGCCTTAAGCCAAGGAGGAGACTCCTCAACTTTCTTCTTCAACCTCGTCTTGAGATTAATCTTACTCTTCTTCCTCTTCACAAAACTAGTCATAAGAAGCTTCTCGAATGCGCCTTCTATAGACTCTTGGCTTCTCTCGTGACCAGCGTACTGCTCCAAAAGAAAGTTACGAGATGCCCAAATCTCTTCCTCCGAAGCGTAAGGGCTGATACCTAGACGCTTGTATGGGTCCCAAACTCTTGTTCTAGGAAACGTGGGAACGTTACCTAACACCAAATTCATTTCGATTAAGTGAGTAAACAGTGTAAAGGTTAAAACTTTATCAAGAACGATTACGTGAGTAAACAGTGTAAAGGTTAAAACTTTAGCAAGAAAGAAGTGAGTGAACAGTGTAAAGGTTAAGACTTTAGCAAAAAGATTGAGAAGAGAGTGTATACCTCCGTAGGGAGAATCAACGGCGCACTTAAGGGGTTTGAAGCTTCTCGAAGCATTACGAAATGGTAAAAGCCCTAAAAGTGACTGCTTTGGCTTCCGCAAGTGAAAACTGCAATCAGAAGCAGTTAAAGATTCAATTTTGGAAGATATATACAGACAAACAAACCCTAGAATTTGAAATTGGATAACGGGTCAGACCCGAATTGGAAATTGGTTAACGGATTGAACTCGAATTCGAAATTAGAGTAGAACAAAGAAAGAGATATTACAGCTTTGATGGAGCGAAGAAGGGAGAAGATACTGTGGAGCCAGAGAGGAGAAGAGACGATGACATGGTTTCCTTCCTCCGTCGGGTTAAACCGACGCCGTTTTTGTTTCAAGTTATCCTAAGTGGTTTGGTGAAGAAGAAGATGAAGTATGTATATATCCCAAATCTGTTCGCGTAAATTACAGAATACTCCCTCATCTTTTGTTTGTTTCGTTTTATGTCCATGTAATTAATAATATTTCAAAGATCGCCCCTAATTTCGAAATAAGTTATTTGACACCTCGTGACTAGTCACCACAACACCAATAATTGATAAACCGTTTACATATTCACATAAAGATCGCTCTATATTTATGGATCTTTTGATACACTCACAGAAGACATATTCCACAGGCTATATTCTTGAGAATCATTTATTGATATAGACATGGATGTGGATTTGATACAACAAAGGACCAAATGTTGAGTGTTAATGGCAAACAATAGTCTCATAGCTTCGAGCTCAGACCAGTCTGAGTAAGCCGTTGCCTTAGAACTCTTCTCATAACCTTATTTGTAGCCGTCCTCGGTAAGGAAGGCAGAGTCACAACAGATGATACCTGCATTAAACATTTCACATTAGCACATATATTTGTATAAAATTTGCTACAACACAGTCACTAATGAACTTTTCTGTGTGTTTGTTGTTGGTAATATACCTTGAACAATGGATTGAGTTTCTTTTGTATCTCAGAGTTGAAGGACTTCTTCAAGAGGTTCAAGTCATGATTCGTTATCTCTGGGCTCTTGAGCACAACAGCGATTACTAGCTGCTCAGGACCGCCACTGGGAGGTGGAACACCGATGGCTGCTGTCTCCAGGACGCAGTCATCAACTGAGTTACAGACTCGTTCGATCTCAATAGAACCGACCTGGACAAGAACAACAGGCAGAGTATGATTATGAGCATGAAGATGCACATTAATACTATATACTATGAGCACTATACAGTAAGGTTACCTTTATACCACCAAGATTCATTGTGTCATCAGCACGTCCGTGAGCACGGTAGTATCCTTTTGAAGTCCGTTCAAATAAATCCCCGTGTCTTCTTAAAGTCTAAAGAAAAGCAGGACGCCACACACTCAGAACTGATGAAAACGTCAGAATAAATGTGGTAAGAGTTGGTTTACCTGTCCTTGGAATGTGGGCATTCCTTTGAAGTAAACTTTGTAGTGATTTCCATTAAGAAGAGTGCTAGAAGCTCCAAATATGTGTGGACAAAGAGCTAATTCTCCTACTCCTTCTGCGTCTGGAGGCTGAAATGAGGAAGAAAAGACCATGCTAACTTCAGTTCAGTCCTTGACACTGTAAAATCTTTCAGAATATATGCTTACAAGAGGATTGCCATCTTCACCGAGAATGAAAAGCTTGCAACCCATGGCAGCTGTGCTAAAAGCAGCCAGTGACTGAGGCTGGAGTAAAGAACCAGTGATAAAACTACCTCCAATCTCAGTTCCGCCACAATACTCAATAACAGGTTTGTAATGAGCCCTGCTCATCAGCCATAGATACTCGTCTACATTCGAGGCTTCACCAGTGGAACCAAAACAACTATGGAGAAAGTATTAAGATAAGACATCAATGTTAATGTTTGAAAATTATCATTAGTTTGGAGAACTTTCAGGCTTAACAACACTCTGAGAATGAACTTTGGGAATTACCGGATTCGTGACCAATCATAGCCAGAAGTCGAGTTTGAGTTTTGCCATGTCCGAACAATGCTTGGTATCACACCTAGCATTGTTACCTCAGCATCCTAACCCCAGAATACAAAACATATGGTGAATTCAAGGGATGAACACAAACTATCAATTGCTTTTGACTCTTCTAAGTTTTTTCTCTGTAAAGCCAATGAGATGGGAATGCATAGTTACATTGCTTACCTGCACAAATTTGGCAAAGGCAGGACCAAGGGGTGATCCATTGTATAATGCCATGCAAGCCCCATTTATCAAGGAAGCATAAACGAGCCACGGACCCATCATCCACCCAAGGTTGGTAGGCCAAGCAACAACATCTCCCTGATGAACATCTAAATGGCACCAAGCATCAGCAGCAGATTTCAGAGGAGATATGTTCGTCCATGGAATAGCCTTTGGCTCACCTACACCATAAACGCAAACATGGTATTTTAACATCGTTATCTACATGCCATGATGTAGCTTTATTTCATTGGCTTACCGGTGGTTCCTGATGAGAAAAGGATGTTCGTGCAAGCTCCTGCTGGTTTCTCTACAGCAATATATTCCACGCCTCTGAAAGAACAGTAGAAAAATATGTGTGTATTCGATTTTGTGACATTAAATAAATGTAAACAAAATAGATGAAAATTACTTTAGACTGTTTTGGTCAACTGTAGAATAGAAGTATGGTCCCAACTCCCAAGGTCCAAAACTTTGGTTTTCATAACAAAGAATCATACCATATTTATTGGTTGTTATTATCAGGTGAATTGTAAGATTTTACCCAAATTGACTATCTAAAATTTCACCCCTTTCAAGAAAACGTTGCTGTTATTTTCAGTTTCTAACTGTAGGATGTACAGTGTTGTATACAACGACTGTACCTCATATTTCCTGCCTTTCCCAAAAAGTCGTTCCAAGACAAATCATTCTCACGGAGCTTCATACTGACAGATGAGCCTCTCGCTGGAATAACAATGGCCAAGGGTGCTTCTGCATCAACGACTCTTCTGCAGCGCCAAATAGATAACGTGAGAACAATTTTTACAGCCGGCTTCTTGAGAAAAAAAAAAAAAAGGTCTGATGGATTGCAAAAACTTCACCTATAAAGGGGAATACTTTTATCTCCACGAATGATCTCATCCTGATAACAAGATAAACGAAATAAAAATTAAGGAACTGTAGAAGAAAAAAGTCACATCCTCTTTTCCAATAATTAACATGAGTAGAAAACCATGTTATATGATAGTGATGGTTTTTATACAGTAACACCATTATACGCCAAACTACTTTAATACTAAATTCAACCAGAGTGGATTTTCCACTACAGGCTACTAACACCTTACAGCCGTTTATATTTTGGCCACAAACTTACTAAATCAATACGCAAAAAGCCAAACAGTTCACCACTGAACAAAACAAAACAAAACAAACAAACAAAAAATTACACTTTGATTGTACAGTTATCAAAGAAATATGTGAAATATACCTGAGTAAATATAGCTTTCGCTTTTGAAATTTTAAGCCGTGTTGATATTTCACGGGGAGAGAAGCTATCAGCTATAGAAACAACCACGTGGCCTGCTAAAACAATGGCAAGGTATATAATCACAGACTCAACGTTCATTGGCATATCAATCGCAATTGATGACCCTTCCTCCAAATCCAAGGCACCAAGAGCATGTGCAGTTAACCTATACACATCACATAACAATAATTTACATTACCATTTCTTCACCAAATAAAAACTTCTTTATTTTCGACAAAGGATGAGAATTTCATACCAAACATGTGACCGTAACTCAAGAAGCGTCATGGTTTTAACAGGAAGATCATCACATCCTTCGTTACGCCATCGGATCACAATCTCCTCTGATCTTCTCTTTGAACCATTACTCAAACAGTTCCTTGCAGGGTTCAGGTATGCTCCAGGAAACCAATTACCTCCAGGATTGTCTCCAGATGTGTCCTTCTCTAAAACACACTTAGGTGGTACAGAAAAGATTATGTTCAACTCATCCAGAACAGTTCTCCAATACACCTGCAAAAATATGAAACCACATATAATTATTAAAAAAAAAAAAAAAAAACATAATAGGCCCTGCTTCTCAGCTTTTTGTTTGTTTTAATGTTGCGGGAGTAGTAATAACTGTTCACTGTGAATAGTAATCACTGTTCACAGGGTTATTTCATATTGCTAAAAAACTTTATAGACTTAAAATTAAAAAGATTCTGCAACTTGCAATCTACAGTAGCAGCCGAGGAAGCCTTCCTGCCTTTTTAGTGGTTATTGAAATTCAAAATTAAAATGTAGCATAATAGGTTCAGTTCCTAGCTACAACAATAGTCCCTTTTTTTTAAAGTAGTTTAGTGGTTATTGAAATTCAAAATTAAAAGTAGTTTAGTGGTTATTGAAATTCAAATTAAAATGTAGAATAATAGGTTCAGTTCCTAGCTACAACAATAGTCCCTTTTTTTATTAATTTCTTCCGGACAATATTTTGGCACTGCAATGAACAAACGAATCAACAACAAACAGAATAATTACAATTACCTCAGGATTAGATACTGAGAATTCTTGAAACTTTGAGAAACTCGAAATAGGATTCTTGTAGTTATCACCTAAGAACTCTCTCCCACGCCTCTCTAACAAACCGCCAACGTTAGTTAAAGAAGCAACGGTCCTATATTTATCAATCGAAAAAATTCAACAATCCAAACATTAATACAAAGCACAACAAACTAATTATAATCCGTTTGATGGCATACGGGTCGGGTAGCCAAGCGGGCGGGTCGGATCCGAAATCTTTGTAGCAGCCGTAATACATCATCTGGTGGAAAGAGAAAGGGAGAGTAGGGTGAAGTATCCGTCGAGAAATCTGGATCCATCTCTCCGTGGCAGAGCCGTGATTACGGGTGATATCTTTGAGATCTCTGAGAAGCTTGTAAGATACATCTTCGGAGATTCCTAGAGATTTGATGTCAGAACTCGTGATGGAATCTAGGGATTTGTATGCCATTTTTTTTTATAATTTTGTTTTCTTTCAGTATCGGAACTTGGGAGAGAAACTTATTATGAATGATTTTGATTGAAAATGAATTCTGAAGAGAGTGCCACTGGAGTGGGTAAGTTCTCCACGTAATATAAAAAAAGAATAAAAAGGCGCGCACTGCCACGTGTCCATCTAGTACTGATCTCTTACTTTTTTAATCGCTCTTTCCACGTCTGATTATCATCTTCTTGTTGCTTAATGCTTACCTGATTATCATCTGATTGTTATTTTATATTTTTATTTTGATTTTATTTGATGATGTTCTTTTGTATCTTTTTGTTATTTCAGTGTACATGAAGATAAGTTGTTGTTGAGAGATAAATAATGGTAAAAAGATTTCTCAAAGTTGTTGATACAAAAAAAAAAGAGATGATACATAAAGGAAAAACTAAAACAAAACAAAAACACTTTTAAGCATTAGATAACTTTTAAGCATTAAACAAAACAAAAGATTTCAATGACTTATGTATCTTTTTTTGTATTGGTTTCTGATGTACATTCTATAGTCGAATTATCTTGACACTTTTTTTTACATCCTTCTCCACGGTTGATCACCATTTTATTACATATCTACTGATTTCAGTCAAACAAACTATCAACTTCATACTGATTTCAGACAAACAAACTATCTTTTTGATGGGACAACAATTTTCTTTAAACAAGTTTTTTATATAATCAGCAGACAGATTAATCAATTTGTTGCATAAGCTGTTTAATTGTTTTGCACAGTATTGAAAGCACTAAAAACCACAGACAGACCAGACCTACTAGGCTACCACAATTATTATAAACTTCTAAAATATTCGAGGACTTTCTAAATTGGATATTCGGCAAAAAGACAGTAGCCACAGACAGACCTACCAGATAGTCAATCAAAATTACAACCATGGTCCTGAGCTATCCTAGAATTACAATTTTATCCCAAATTTTTCCTACCTATACTATAGGCCCAATCATCTCTGTTTATTTGATCATTTTCTTTCTTTCAAAGCTGTAGCTATTACTTCAGTTTGAGTTCAACTTTGTTTATTTTTCTGAAGTTCCATTTCTGATCATCAATGTAAAAGAAATAATAACTCGAAAATCTTATCAAAAGATCTCTCAAAGTTGATGAGATATAAAACAACACTTTCTTTAGCTATGACTGAATACATTCTCTTGTTTTCAGTCGGAGCTAGGAAGGAACTTGGTTCCTGATCTAGTACCGAACCTAGAAGCTGCAGGTATAATCCTCGAAGGAGACAACACCTGTGCGAACGAGAAGTTGTAAGAATCAGTACCTAACCGGCTCTGCAACCATCCTCTACCACCAGAGAATCCATCAGTCACAATCCAGCAGTTCTTGAACCCGAGAACCTTTAACGTTTTCGCCACTATTTTAGCTGAGTCCGAGTACCTACAAACCAATAAAGATCACATGAACCAAAAAGATTCCACTAAAAGAGCAAATACAAATACACACTCACGAGTCCATGATGATGATATTGGAGCCTTTGTTGACTCTCTTGAGGTAAGATATCTTTAACGCTGCTATCTCTGCTTCAACACGTTTTGAGCTCCTCACGATTCCTTTTACTTTGTTCGGCAGTTCCTCTAATCTGATGAATGATAGCAAGAAACATGAGTTCTTGTTTCTTGTTGGTTGTTTCTTGTAATGAAAACATAAGTTAAGCAAAAGAGACTTACGGAATGGCGATCATACTGTTCTTAGCATTTGAAGGGAGACGAGGAATCCCAGCTTTCTCCTTCTCTTTCTCTGATCTTATATCCACCATTAAGTAGTTCTTGGAACAGAGAAGATCAAGTGTTTGAGCAGGTGTGAGGTCACCTTAAAACATAAACCACAACACACAGTGTAAAACTCAACTTTTTGCTAACTTGAATTAGACTCTTAGATACAAAACAAAAAGTCATTATTCAATAAGAATCAGCTCAATTTTCACACAAAATGATGTGATCAGGTTTTAATCACCAAATAAAGACAACAAGTGCACAATAGTATTTATTGAATCCACATAAACCAAAGTACACTACAAAGCTAAGACAAACGTTTGTTTTCTAAAACTAAGCAAGTATGTAAATATGCAGAAAGATTCAATGTAAAAAGTCTTTCAAGAAAAGAAAAAAGTACTTGTTATGTTATTTTCAAGATGATATGTGTAATTTTTTTTGGCATTTTACCTTTGTAACCACGGAAGTTAAAAGATATTGCAGACCAAACAGGAGGGAGGAGAAGGTAAGCAATAAACGCAGCACCAGCAGTAACAACAATGACACTAGGATCAGCTGAAGATATCGTCTCCATAGTAGATGAAGCAATAGGCCTAGCATCTTCAATAGCTTTTGTTGTCTGTTGCGCCACATCTGTTACTGTCTACATCCCAACAAAAACACACACACACACACACACAATCTCAACTCCTCCAAAGGCCTAAAAGTTGTTGAGTCTCTAATGTAAAAAAAAATAATAATAAAAGAATTCTGACCTTTGCAGCGCTATAGACAGGCTCTGCATCAAAACCAGAGCTTTGCATTGCTTCTTGAGCTTTCTTTGAAGCCTCTGAGAAAGCAGGAGAAGCAATCTTCAAAGCCTCTTCACCGGCTTGCTTTGCTATGGGCAAAGCAGTGTCCAAGGCTGGCTTGAGAGCGTCTCCTACTACTTGGAACACACGCTGCGTTGCATCGAAAACACTTGAACCAGTTTCTTGAACTTGGTTGATTGTTTTCTCCACCTGTTAAGGACAAAAAAACTCGTCAGCAAAAGGGTATCAAAGAGAGAGAGAATCAAACTTAAGTGAGATTATCATATGAATACTTCAGTGAGAGAGGAGACGATCTGGTCCTTGGAAATGGAAACAGCAGCTTTGGCTTCAGGAGGAGGAGATGAGAAGACAGATAACAAAGAGATTGAGGTTGTTGTTGGAAGTGCTACAGAGATTTGTCTCACTCTCTTCTTACAAGAAGAAGAAGAAGGAAGAGTAAGTTTTGCAGTTACTGAAGACTTCATTGCCATCTCCGCCATAGCCATGGTTTTTCTCTGCCACTCTTCTTCTTCTTCACAAATCAATGTGACAGAGAGAAAAAAGACAAAGACTTTATTTAATGGTGCTTCTCCTCTATGTTGTCTATAAACTGTTTCTGAAGATTATAAAGTACATTAGAAGAAAACAATGGAGGCAGAGTTAATGGTTATGAGCGTTTCTTGAAGAAGAAAAAACGATAGAGGATTTGAATGATGGTGTTTGATTGGTCAGAGTAATCCTACGTGGAAGTTAGTTGTGCAAGCTGAGCCAGTCATTACCGATCCGAATCAGAATCGTTGCTTTTTGATTTATGCTAGTACAGAACAGTAGTAGTGTAGTACTTTCAAGGGAAACGGGTCAAGTTGAACAGACGGTTTACAAATAGTCATGATTTGGAACAAAACGAATTAAACCGGACTATTTTGGTTCATTCTCCAAGCGTCATATGTGTTAAAATTAAACCGATGGTAAAACAAACAATTAAAATTCATCCCACACAAAACCAAATATCTCAATGATTAACTGAATTTTGGTTTAGGTTTCCTTCTCCTGCTTTGGTTAGCATGCTAAACAAGTGACTTAACCACACTTGCTCAACACTCACTGATAAAATCAAAAATTAGTTTGGTTTATGAAAAATCATCTATTTTCTATCCTAATAACTTGTCCATGATTGAAGGAAGATGAGCAAAAATAGACCAGATCACAGGCTCCATAGCATTTACAAATATTATTTTCCCATCAAGTGTATAGTAAAGCACCATAAGTAGACCTTAAAAACAAACAAGCTCACATATTAGAGTCAAACTCCATCAGATGATTCTCCAACCAAACTCTTAGAAGAAGATTTACTAAGTCCCATGTAGGTAGTTCATGAATTTCACATATTAAGTCCATTTTTTTAAAAGCACCAGCCTAGGAAGTGATACTATATTATTCGTATGTAGAACCACTCCATTATCACGTAGGAGAATAACACTATTTTTTCTCATGTTTTACCACCCTCCAGTGTGGGGGAATCTATGAAAAATCACAAGTGATGATCCTGAAGAACAAGATTCTCCTTTTCTTACCTAATTAGTGAACGGAATCTTGTTACCATTTGAAGTTTGCTCCAAGGAATTTTCAAAGTTCAAACCCACGAGCTCAGGAATCCATTCACTTCACAGGATTCCTCCACCTTTTTTCCTGTTTTGCCAAAGAAGGCAGAAAAGTTGAACACCAGTGACAAACAAACAAGTGTCTTTTTCCAACAGATGTATCCCATTAGATACTGACACAAAAGTTTACGAAGTGAACTAAGTTTTTCTTTCTTTTTTCTTTTTGGATCAAAAACTAGGTTCTTCTTAAACATCCCCTTTAATGTTTCAAAACAGGAGCTAATGCGAAAGGAACAAGTAGTATGGCTCTCTAGACTGTTTTTAATCACCCACTAGGATCTTAACTAAAAGGATTACTACGTTCTCCAGATTACACAATTTACCAACGTCTGAGTAACTGTTCCATGTGTAAAGATTAGTGTTCTATGAAGATCTCTTATCATTAGGCAAGAAATAAAAAGCAAGGGTTCTCAGTAAGGCAACATCCAGGTAACATGTCAGATTAAAGAGCCAGAGAAGGAAACAAAAAGTCACACATTGCATCAAGAAAACCAGAGATCACAGCAAGCCTCAACAGTGAACATATTACAACAGTCATCTTCCGGTACCAAAAAAAACAAGCAGGAGCAAAACCAGTGGCGAGAGTCTTATCATATTAGCTGATACGAAAACCTTAAATGATGAAAAGGAACTCAAACCCTTGATACATGTAAACCAAAAGAAAAACTCCATCATCATCAGATTCATGGCCATAGTTCACAAACAGATCATTATCAAGAAAAAAACTATGAAGAAAAAAAAAGAATAAAACAAGGAAGTTGTCATCAAACATAAGTACATGGTTGGATTTAAGATAGTTTGAATGTCATTCTAAGTATATGACACTGAAAAAAAAAGAAGCTGAGTCCATGGTTGGATTTAAGATAGTTTGTATGTCATTCAAGTATCCACACATGGTGACACAGCCACACAGCAAGTACACCTACAAAAAAAAAAAAAACAGTATTGTTTTTATTTTCTTACCCCAAAAACCAAAACAAAACCAAAACTTTCAGTTTTGTTTTCTTTTACAAAACCAAAACCTTTAGTTTTTATCTTGTTTACAAAACCAAAACTTTTAAAGAGACAAGAATCATGAGTAAAAGTCCTCAAAAATGAGAATTTTTTTTTTTGAATTTGGCTTGGTTTAGTTTTCCCTGACGCTCTCCAAAGCTAAGATCCACAAGTAAGAATACTTTAGAGATAATTTTAGTTAGCAGCTGAGAATTTATTTTTGAAGTCAGAGTTATCTTCATCTCGTGTTCTACTTCTCAGATTAAAAGAGATTATTGATTAATAATATAGAAGAAACTAAGAAAGAGACAAATCAGGAAAGGAGAAGCACTGGATGCAGAGGTTTATCGATCGATTCATGCTTTCATTGTTACATTTTTTCTTTTCTTTTTTTTGGAAAGAAAAATAATTCCCAGGAATTGATCGATGAACCGCTGCCTCCAGCGACTTCAACTTTCATCATACTCGCCAAAAACAAATCCAACAAATAAAACAATCGTAAAAGAAGCAGATTAGGATAAAAGTTTCACAGATCTGAGATAATTAGTGATAGAAGTAGGTGTTGTCTTATATCTACGAGAGCCTCTCTCGTATATTATATATAGAGGGAGAGACGTAGTTACATATATAGAGATGCATGTGAGAGTAGTAACACAAAGAAAGACCAACAACTCCCGAATTTGAAAGTAGGGAGGAGGAGGAAGGAATCTGATGACTCACCGTTTTATCCCTTTTGCCGTACATGTTACTTTTTTTTTTTTTTCTTCTCATCCTCGTCTTTTGTCCTTTTGGTCAATAAAATTTGATTGGAAAGACAAAGATTCTCAGTTTTATTTTTCTTTCAAAACCTTTTCGATTTTTTTTGTTTCTTTCTATTTTTTCTAGCCTGGAAACTAAAATTACAATATCAATAATTAGGAGATGAATGAATTCTACGGTAGATAAATTAATATACACTAAATATTTCTATAAAATAATATAATTTTATAGTTTTAAATTGAGTTTTTGGTTCAATTAGTATATCGATAAATTAATATTTCTCTAAATTAATTAAAAAATAAAATTTTGGTATAATTTCAACATTATTAATTTATGGAGGTTTTACTGTATATTATATGTAAAAATCAAATCAAATGATTTCTATATAAATGTTAAACTGTTGTATCACTTTTATTTTCTAATCAATGGTATGAAGATTAGATGTGGTGTAAATAATATTTTCATCTTCTCTAAGCTATTTTTAAAAATGTTAATTTGATCTACATCTCCAAAATTAGAAATAAATGTACATGCAAATTTATTAGTAAAACAGACTAGGCCTAGAGATGTAATATTTTCTCATGTAAATTAATATGGTTAAATAAATTATTCTTTAGAATAACTTTCATATCGATCAAACCTTAGGTTTAAACATAAGAACATTTGACAAAACAATATTTAGTTTTTTTTTTTGAATAATCCGGTGTGCCATGACACCTATTAAAGTGGATTTAGACTAGCGGTGAATATTCGCATCAATATACATTATTAGCCGGAATACACCTCGATCGCTGGACGCTAGGGAACTCAAAGTTAAATTTTACTTTCAGTAGCCAGCGAATTTCGAATTTGGATCTATATTGGGATCAAAACTCCCTTAAAACCACTAGGCCATCCTCGTTTAGTTTACTTTAACATCTAGCTTAACTTTAAATTTTTGTAATTTTTCATATTTAAAAGTATTTTTCATATTTTTGATATTTTTGATTTGTATTAGAAGTAGTAAAAGATTTACACAAAAAAGTAGTAAAAGATCACATAGTGTTACAAAAAAAAAAAAAAAGATCACATATGATAATTTGAAACTAAACTCTAGTCACAAACCCAAACCCAAAAGTCAAGAATGTATTTGAATCCAAGATCAGGCCCAAGTCAAGGCCCAGTAATATTAACCAGAATAATACAGCCCACTGTCTCATCACTCTCCAAACTAATTTCATTTTTCAACTATCTCCCTTAAACCCTAAAGAGTTTGCGAAATCCTGCGGCTCGTCATCATCACCTTCCTCTGTAATCAAATCTTCACCGCTTCAATGAGAACACTAATCTCTCCCTCCCTTCCTCCTCTCTTCTCTCTTCACTTCCCTAAACCCTCCCTCTTCTCCAGACCTCTCCTCACATCTCGCCACCCTCTCACCACTTCCTCCTTCTCTCTCAATAAACTCTCCACTAATTCGCATCATCCCTCAGTCTCAAACCGGAAATCACATACAGAGGCCTCATCAAATCCCTCCGGGGAGATACACGTCGTCGTCGGACCAATGTTCTCCGGCAAAACCACAACCCTCCTCCGCCGAATCCTCTCCGAGAGAGAATCCGGCAAGCACGTCGCCGTAATCAAATCGGATAAAGACGACCGTTACTCCACGGAATCGATCGTCACTCACGACGGAGAGAAGTTCCCTTGCTGGTCTCTACCGGATCTAACCTCCTTCAAAGGCCGATTCGGTTACGACGCGTATAGGAATCGGTTGGAGGTGATCGGGATCGACGAGGCGCAGTTCTTCGGGGACGAGGATCTGTACGAGTTTTGCCGCGTGGCGGCTGATGAGGAGGGTAAGACGGTAATTGTGGCGGGGTTGGATGGGGATTTTATGAGGAGGAGGTTTGGTTCGGTTCTGGATTTGGTTCCGGTTGCGGATACGGTTACGAAGCTGGCGTCGAGGTGTGGGGTTTGTGGGGGGAAGGGTTTGTTTACGTTGAGGAAGAGTGGGGAGAGAGTTAGGGAGTTGATTGGTGGAGCCGAGGTTTATATGCCTGTTTGTCGGAGGCATTATGTGGGAGGCGGTCAAGGCGTTTTGGAGACCGCGAGGGGCGTTTTGGAGAGTTCTACTTCGCAGCGAAACGGAACGCAGGATTTGGCGGCGGCGGTGACGAGTGTCTCTCCTCCGTTTTGATTCGCGTTTTAGTGTTGTGTAGTTGATTCTAAACTCGCTAGAGAGTGTAGAGGCTTTGGAAAAGAATCAGTGTTTTAGTTGTACTACTTAGATTAATCAGTGATTTTGATTATAGAACTTTTTTCCGACAGACATCCTTCCTTACACATAGTTAAGTCAAGGTTGCTTAAAAAGGGTGGGCATATCGGTTTAAATATCAGTTTAGTTTGGTTAATTTGGGTTTTATAAAACTCAACCCAATCAAAACCGAAGTTGTTTCGGTTGGAGTTTGGTTTGGATTTAGTTTAATTTGGTTTAAGTTTAGTTCAGTTCACTTTATTATGGTTTGGTTTATATGCCTGTTTGTCGGAGTCACTATGTTGGCGGTCAAGGCGTTTTGGAGACCTCTCGTGCCGTTTTGGAGACTTCTTCCCAATGAAACGCAAGGCAGGATTTAGCGGCGCCGAGGAGTCTTTACCCTCCTTTCTAGATTCGCGTTTTGTGTTGTGTAGTTGATTCAAAACTCTCAAGAGAGAGTAGAAGCTTTAGGAAAAATCCAATGTTTAGCCGCTTTAAAAATGTGATGTACTACTTAGCTTAATCAGTAATTTTAACTGTAGTAACTTTGTTCCTACAATCTACAGACACGTATGCAACTGAAGGTTGATCAACAATACAAGTCTAATAAATAAATGGCTAAACAAGAGTTAACAATTGTTTTAACAATAATAAAGCCAAAAGACCATATAATTATCGTCTACCTCATAAGGATTCGCTGAACCCAAGTTACCCAACTGTATCATATGATAAACTAAGCTCATCATTTGATAACACCTGACCATTGAGACAGTGGTATGTCTACAGAATCTTTCATTGCATAACTCGATTCTATGGTGTTTCTGGTTTTCACAAAAAAGATGTATGCAAGTGCTCACTGATTCTTCCCAAGTTAAAGCCAGCAAATAGCTTTGGTTCAGTCTCTTCGCCTCCGCTTCTCCCGCCTTGACTCTCTCCGTTCTTCGTCTCCGCTGTATCGTGAAGAAGAGGAATCCTTGGTCTTGTGATGCTTTGAATGCTTCTTGTGGCTACTACTTCTCTTCTCTCTTGAAGATTCTCTCCGCTTTCTTCTTGATCTTGAGTCATGCTTATCCCAGTTGTGGTGGCCACTGGACGAATCGCTCTCTGTATCATATTTTCTATGCCTATCCTTCTTGGAACGTTTTCTCCTCCGTTCATCTCCTGAGGATTCACTCGAAGATAGATCATTTCCACCACTCCGGTTTCTTGGCGACTTCTCTCTTTTTTGTATATTCTTTTCTTCTTCAGACACGAGTTTGTGGCTGCTCGTCTTCTCCTCTGATTTCTCTTTCAATCCAAGTCTTCTCTCAGTAGATGCATCTGATTTGGCTTTGGGCTTGTTCTCTGCTTCCATTGGCTTGGTTCCTTCCGGGTATGGGGCATCAGAAGGTACTTCGAAACCAAGTTCTTTCCCTAGAGATTCTAGAAAATCACCAGCTATAAGTCGGTTTAATGTTGTTGCAGCTGCTTCATTCTTCTTTTCTTGACCATCTTGTGTCTTTCCATTCATAGGTTGTTCTTCTTCATCATCTTCAGAATCATCAGAGAAAATGGCCTAAAAGTGAACATAACCGATTATATTAATCGACTGATTATATAACAAATGGGTTCGCATAAATTTTCTCAGGTAAAGACAGCCTCTTCACCTTGTAAAGATCAACAGGTCTCTCCACATTCTCCACTTCTACCTCGACTTCAGGCTCTTTCTTAAGTTCTTGTAGATCAGAGCCTTGGAGTGCTCCCGATCCAGATGCAGCTTTCACTGTATCCGGCAAGAATAGGAGAGAATCCATTTTGTTTCTTGCTCGCGGAGCAGCTGCCGGCTGTAAAAATTGAAGGGAAAACGTATGAAATTAAATAAAACATCAATAAGCAAGAACATGACACTGAAAATGGCATAATGTAACCCTTGTAGGGATCCTATAAATACAATCAGCCATTTTATTATGACAAAAAATAACCAACAGATAAAGTTAAAACAAGACTTTTTCACTATTTTTTGTCATTTATATCAACATGCACACCATTCACTGTTGGCATAATTTATCACATCAAATTGTATTTAGTGTGACTAAGGTCATGATTATGCAAAATTTCACCAACAAATCTGCGTTCCACAACAAGACATTATAGGATCATTCATTTTTCTAGTCTTCAACGAATGTAAGCTTTAAATGACATTCCAGAAAGAGAAGCAAGGAATCAGTTATTTACCTTTCCCATGAAAGGATCAGGAAGATCAAAACGTTTGCACAGAAGAGACGCAGGACGCCATTGAAACTCCTCCCTTTTAGGGTATGTCTTATTTGTTTTCATGTCTACTACAGTGTCTTTAATTTGCTGTTAAAAACAAACAATTTTGCATATGAGCATAGAACCCCCAATGCACAGAATACAGCTATGAAGATTCTGTAGATATACCTCTGTTCCACCAGAAGTAAACTGCAGCCCTCCGGCAAGAAAGTCGATAGGCCGTTCAGTAGCACGCCTGACCTCCTTGTAAGCTTTTCCCTTCTCAATTGCCTCAGCTGCAGCCTCAAAGTCCAACCTTTCTTGAGCACGAGCTGACTCCGACATGCTGTTGAATCTGTTGGAATCTGTTGTACGTAACCCTCCTTTGTATTTCTCCTTGAGAAACTGCTCAAATCTTTCTTGTTTTGCCGGGTCATCTTTGAAAGGCTTGACGGCATCTGCTGCCTCTTGCTATTTCAAGAAGGGAAAGAGTAAAACAAGTCTAAATGTTAGTGGAAGGAAAAGAAAAGCAGATGACCTCCTTGAAACACATCTAGTAAATGTAGTAAGGCTACATTCTTATAAGGTGTAAAGTAGTTTACTTACAGAGGAAGCTGATTTGGTGAATGTGTCAGAGAGGTTGGTCGGGAACTGGAATGACCCTCCAGAAGAAGCAGAAGTCTCAGTTTCTTTAACACTTTTTTGCAACGGCCTTTCCCCTAATAAGCTACCACGCGTTTCTGCAGTCATTTTCTGCACGCTTGGAGGGACCTTAACGTCTAATTTTATATTACTTTGATCACCGCGCTTTTGTTGCTCTTCCCACAGCCTTCTTGCATAGTAATCATGACCGCTACCTCCCCGAAGAAAATCAAACAACTGATTTGATTCGTTTTTCTCTCTAGAAAGATCCTCGTACAGTTTCCCGCAGCGGGAAACAAATGTTGCAAATCCATCGATCAGAAGTTTCAGACTCTTATCTTCTGGGGGAGGAACATCTGGAGGCGCGGAAGCAGTTGGCTTAGTTTCAGCCTCCCGAGGACCAGGAAATTTATGCCGGGCCACAAAGTCCTTTGGGATTTTCGGAGGATCAAATCTAATACAATAGAAAAAACCAAATTGATGTGAATTCTAGTAATATGCAGATGAAAGTAAATCACCGTAATCAGAAAAGTATGAGGGAAAGAGCTCCACTACACGTGCAGAAGTGAGACAAAAGTGAGTTAAAAAAATAATTTGTTATACCTTTCTACACTGTAGTCAGAATTGGAAGCAGCTCCAAAACCAGGTAGAACGTTATGCTCTTTTGAGGTTAACCTAAGTGTATTGTCATGGCTCGGTCTTGGTGGCTGTTCATCTTCTATGACATAAGTCTGGTCAAAGTCATATCCTGGAAGAAATGGAATACATTCAAACCCCCACGGAGATACGTATGCTTAAAACTAAAACAACCATGATTAATGAAATAGTAAATATGTCCTTACCAGCATAGACATCTTCATCCTCGACATCAAGCTCCTCAAGTGCGCCAATGCCAAAACCAGGAGCAAGCTTTCCTGCTGATTGTTGAACTCATATTAGCAACACCCCACAGTAATGGCAACCAAAATCTCGCATACAGATAATGCACTACAGCATATACGTGTAGTTAAGTAAAGAAGAGGAAATAATGCCAAATGGTAAGTCGAGATCTTACATTTTGGTCCAAAAAGACTTTCCTTCATAGACAAAGGTTTTCTGTAGCCAGCCTCCTTACTGGCAGACAAGCGAGATCTTTTGTTTTCTACAATCCAGAAAAAATGCAAGTTAACGAAAATAATGCTTTGACAGCAAAAACATCATAAAAGTCCAAACTACATACCTCTAAACTCAGGAGCATGCTTAAAAGGATCATATCCTAAACCATGCAGATCCTGCTTTGGATTGAGAACATACACCTGCAAAGATAATGAAGGAACAAAGAGGATCATCACACTTAAAGCATCTGAGGGTAATAGATGTAAAGAACTTCTGCAGCAGATTAGACGCTGTATTTACAGTTCTAAACTTATTCTGATACGAAATTTAGATAGAAAAGTTCAAGGAAAATCTGATTGAAAGATGTATGACCCCAATCGCTATTACAATCAATAGCATAAATCCCGTTTTCAAAGAGAAACTAAAAATTTGACTCACAGGTGTGGTTTCAGAAAATTTAATATCTTCACTGAACTGTGGACCCAGAGAAGTTTCCGCTTCAGTCTCCAAAACCTGTGAGTCCGAAGATTCCTTAGTGTTCTCATCAGCGGAGAAGGCTAAGAATGCTTTTCTAGCTTCCCTACGAGCATCTGCACCATATCAAAGAGAAACAAGTTAAGTACATGGATAAACAAACTCAAATACAGATCTAGTAGTAAGATTTAATCAAAAGGAAAAAAACATAGTCGGATATGTGATTCCAAGATGAAAATGTACTGGGTACAGTGCTAATGTGTGGACAACCGAAAGTTATGGATTAATGCTTGTTAAACAAGTTCAAACCTGAACTAGCACGCACATCCTTTATTGAATGACCACGCCGCCATCCCATCTTTAACAAAAGTTTGACACCTGAAACAAAAGAAAGAAGAAAATGTGTGAGATCAGGATTTTTTTTACTTAATGCACTGGATAAATTAAAGAGAACAGATAAGGCTGTTTTGCAAAATCTTAAAGAGGCTTTCAAAACTAACCAATTGATTCCGGGGCTGGAGCAATAAGTTCGTCATGAACTGGGCCAGGAATCGCTGATGGCCTGTGATACAGTAAAGAAATTGTTACAAATAAACCACAAAACATACAGATATTAACTTCATAGCAACATATATGAAGAAAAGGAACCATAAGTTATAGCAACTTCTTAACTTATCGAAATTAAACTATCACACAATGTCTAAAACTATAACTCATGCCAAATCAAAAAGCAGCAGCCCTGAAAAAAAAACAGCCTAAACATAGCTCCTAAGAAACTTCCAGATGATTGCAACGTGCAGTAGAAGGATTTATAAAAAAGAATCCTAATCAGACTACAAGCCTACAAAAAGTGCATAAAAACACAAAGGAATATGACACAGACGTATAGAGAGACCTTTCATGCTGTTCTTTCTCAGCTTGCTTGCGAGAATGTTCGGCTGCTGTAAATCCAAACGTGTCAAATTGTGAGCTCGCAGACAGTGATTGGCCCTCAAACTCCTGAAATATAAGGGTAATTAAAGTGGCTTAGCATCGTTCTATATACTGAACGTCTTCCACACAAGTGTTACATTCGCAATACACGGTAATCAAACTTTGACGAGCTAAAACACCAATGAGTTGCAATAAATCTTTTAAAAAAAAATCTAACAAGGAGCAAAACAAGAAACATACCGCCTTCTCATCTTCATCTAGAAAATCAGAAATACTCTGCTGTCTCGCTCCAGCTCTGTTCTTCCTTGATGACGTAAATGACTGTGGAGCCCATCCTGAAGTTCAACTTAAAACCATAAACAACAAACTACAGATGAAAATCTTTAAAAAAATTCAAAAAATCCAAAACTTTACCCTCTTTTGACCCAACTGTATTGTAATACCCAGCAGAATATCCACCAGTAAATGCTCCATGAAACCTTCTCCTGCCTTCTTCATCAGTCACCTGATCATCTCAAACTTTATATGTTAACAGCATTCCATAGCATATAAGTATTGAAATAGTAAAGCTGCAGATAATCAATCTAATAACTATTCATATATACATTAACCTAACCTGACAACAAATAACAAAATCTCAAATACATATCAATTTCGAAATAAACATGATTCTTACTACTAATTTACTAATAACTATAAATTGGAAAGCTGCATATCATCAATCTAATAACCATTCATATAATATCTGACAAAAAATAACAAAATCTCAGATACATATCAATTTCGAAATAAACATGATTCTCATTACTAATTTACTAATAAGTATAAATTAGAAAGCTGCATATCATCAATCTAATAACTATTCATTTAATATCTGATAACAAATAACAAAATCTCAAATACATATTCAATTTCAAAATAAACACCATTCTTAGTACTAATTTACTAATAACTATAAATTGGAAAGCTAAATATCATCAATCTAATAACTATTCATATAATAACTGACAAAAAATAACAAAATCTCAGATACATATCGAATTCGAAATAAACATGATTCTCATTACTAATTTACTAAACCAGCTCTAAGTAGAGATATTTAGATTGACTAAAGCGGTTATCGCGATGCTTGATTCATCTATTTATTATTAACTAAACAGGCGAACGACTAGAAGAATTAAAATATCTTTTCACCTCTTGTTTCCAAGCAGGGAGGGTTTTTAGGGTTCCAGAAGCTCCCGCGACGGCTTTCTTCTTCCGGCTAGCGATTTCGTCCTCGCGCTCTATCGGCGTCCCGTGGAATACGAAATCATCCTCCTCTAACCCCATTCTCTCTTTCGCCACCGAGAAAGAGAGAAGAAAAAAACAGCGATTTTCCAGATTCTGAATTAGTGTCGAGAATGATCAAGGAGGAGAGCATGGGCTTAGTTTGGTTTGGGCTACTTAGTTGGCCCATTATGTTTTTCTTGTATACTTAATTTCCCACGTCGTTTAGAAAAGATTAAACCATGGTAATACATTAAAACTTTATGGGATTTTAAATTTTTATTAATTTATAGAGTTATTAATTTTTAAAAAAATTAGATTTTCTAATTTTAGAATATATATTTTTATAAAATAAAAAGAATATATAATTTGTCGTGTATATATATATATTAAATTTTAGAAATCTCACTTTATATATATCACTTTGTTATACTATTTGGAGGACACACAAAATTCAAATAATTTATATATATTTTTACTAAATATTATCAAAATATATTTAAGTGTTAAAAAAATAGAGATGAACTTCATTGTGAATGTAAAACAAACAATACAATGTTTGTTTATACTTATATAAATCTCATATATATATATATAATATTAATTTAAATTTTAATGGGATTATATATTTATATAAAATTTTCTAAAAAATTATAATTGTACTATTTAATCGATTTATTTAAATCGTTCAATTTGGAACTGAAGAAATTTATTAATTTATTAAGTATTAATTTATAGAGTTTTTACTGTAGTCATCTATAGTTCTCCTGATACTTAAAAGATGCATGAAGAAGAAACCCTCAACATATAAACTCTGTAGCATGACACACATATGAGCCTGAAATGGAACAGTGGAGCACAAATGACTAAGGAAGAAGCAGCAGCTGAACGATTAATCTATTTCTCAACCCCAACATCCAGAAACCGACCAAAGAAGTATACAAAGCTAGATGAACGATAGAGGCTTTCTTCGCTTCGACAATATGAAAATGGCATCCGTTTTACGGTTTCCTTGTAAGTGCAATCAAATACATGTCTGTTGTTTATATGCTCTAATTAGTCTCTTAGTATAATACCGTGTTTAAAAACGTGGCCGCCATGACCGTTTATTTGGCGTTTAAACGCAAATCATTCCTTCACTATAGCGATTTGGGACAAAACGCTCAAAAATTCGAAACCATAACGAAAACTAGTTTATTCCAAATTTTAAGTTTAGAATCATATTTTAAGGTGAAAATCTATCATAACTGGCCAAAAATTGTAGAGAAACAAGTTAGACAACGGAGAGAATCAGAAAGAAAAAAAATACAGAGGTGGCAATTAGGGTTTTCAGTCGACAGGTTTCTAGGAAGAAGACGAGGGTAAAGTCATAATTTTGACATATTAATGAGAAATCTGAAAAAATCAGTAAAAATATAAGTCATATTGCTTGAACCCAAGACCTGTTACCTGTGAATGTGGTAGGGTACTACTGCACCGCGGATGACTCCCAATAATATAATTCACACACTAATATATATTCAAAAACTATTCGTCGATTAATTCCCGCCTAATCCCCGATTTTTCATTAACTCGCTAGGCGACATCCGGCCGCCCGACTAGCGTCTAGCGTAGTTATGAACACTGGTATAATATAAGTAGGGCCGTGCCTGATTTTGTAGGAGTTTAGGACCTAGAAAAAAATTTGGCTATTTAATATAAATTTGGCAAAATAATGATCCATAGAATGAATCAAACCGCTACCAAATTGAATAAATGAGCATCCCACAACCAACTGAACCACCTAATCTTTGGTCAAAAATTGACCTCTAAAATATATTTAACTTTGTTAGCCCTGAAGTACATGTTTGATAGGCTTGTATTCAGGCACGGCCCTGAATATAAGCAAGTGTTTTTGATCTGAAAACATTTTTGATTTAGATGTAATTAGTATGCACTTTTTGTTACGTGACTTCTGTGTTGAGTAGAGATAATTTATCTGGTTTAATGAGTTTACGTAGCCGTAAGGAGTTTGATCCGTCCATATATATAACCAATACGTGTATGCAGTGCATGGATCCGAAATGCTCTACCACTTTCGTATGTTTAAATATTTCAAATAGTGACTTGTCGTGTTGATTCAAAAAGTCTTGTTCGTATGTTTTGTCTTTCTTACATTTACTGAATAGACATGTTAACATTTCCTTACAAGAAATAATAAAAACTGATGAGTGATATCATTGAAGCATATGGAGTGTGTGGTTCAGATGAGAGAGAGAGAGAGTGTGTGTGTCTCTGAGAAGGGCAAGGTACGTAGTTACTGGGACCATCACCGTGAGTGACGTGTTAGTTCGCAGGTCTCTGTTTACTCTGCACCCGACAACAACGACCATCACAACGGACCTATTTCATTTAATGACGTCAATAGACCCAACTATTCAACTTCTTACTGCTTTTTTGTACATTGTTTTGTTGCTTATACGATTTGTGTTATAGGATCGTTATTTATCGATGTAAGAAAGCCTGTCGCATGTTGTATGCCCCCCTCAATGGCACGTCACACCAGTCTTTGTTTGAGAGTTTTTCGTACTGAATCGAAGCTATTAATTAAAAACATTAGTAAATGAAAATGTCACCCATTTTTCATGAATAGTTGAATACTTTAAACTTTTTAGTAAAGTCCCTACACCACACACAATAATACTATAGACGTAATGACTTGAACCACAATAATTGATGAAAATCCATTTGCTTTGAGACAAAGACTCGAAGTTCTTGATGAAAGAAGAAAACTAAAATTGGGATGGAAGTTGGTTTAAATGAACTTAAGAAACAATCAAATCACCTAGCTTCCAACTACATATAGTGAGTCTTGTTGTATATTTATGTGATTTAACTTGTTTGCAAATAGAATGCGTCAAATGGTGCCAATGTTCTTTACAGAAATCTTGTAAATCGCCACAGAAGAACTCAAATAACAACTTCGATATGTCTTTGTCAAATTATTTGAGTTCTCGAGTATTCTATACTCTTTTCCTTTGTGTTAACAACTTTTTTTTATACTTTCCTTACTAGTATATATAAACAAAACTTATTCTACTACCAAATAGATATCAGAATTGTTTGTTATTTAACCTTTTAAAAAAATTGGAAAGATACAAAAGCATATATATCTTCGATAATCACATAGCGCTGGTTTGAATTGGGATTTATCCTATCTTAAGTATTAAACTGTTCGTCAATTCTTTTTCGTTTTTTCTTCTCTTCCTAAACCATTCATTAGAAAATCTATTTGAAAACACTTTTAATATGATTAGAGAGGCTGTATGCAGAATGAAGATTTGATATAAAGAAGGATAGATAAGTGTAGTAAACACTTTGTACTGTATAAAAAGATTGAGGTCAAAAAAGAGAGGACTGTGGAGTCAAACAAAATTAGGCTCTTTGTGATTACCCCACATCGAAAATGAAACAACGAACACACTTTGTCTCCCAGATTCCTTTCCTTTGTCATTTTCTCGTGTTTCTCCCAAAGTATTCAACAAAAACACAATCCTAGTTAATCTTTATTAATAAACAAATACATCAAAAGCCAAATAATACAAAGATCAACATTCCTTAACGACTACATTCATCACAGTACAAGTCCTCTCGATAAATTAACAGTAAGATTAACAAGGTAATCTTCAAAAGAGTAGTATTAGTGAGAGATAATGGAAACAATAAAGTTGAATATGATTAAGTAGAGTTGTAAATTATCATCAGCAAAACATTAAAAAAAAAACTTTATTCATTTCCTCATCAGTGGATGAATTATTTTGTTTTTTTCTTCATATATTTTTCTATTCTGGAGCTAAAACTAATCCCAAGTCGAATCACTTGACACCTATATTGAACTAGAAAAAAGCAAAAGACAAATCTACCTACAATATGAAACTATATTATTTTCTTTCTTTTTTTCTCCTTTATTTTCCAAAATCTTCTACAAAAGATGCGTTGGTGGGTCAGTCTCAGTCGTTTCTCTATCAATGTATCCATCCTTCTTCTCTCTCACACAAACACACAACGACAAGAGAGAGAGATAGAAAAAAAGACCAAACCCTGAAGTTAAATTCACACTAGCTACAACCTCTGTCTATCTCTTTCCTTAAGCTTCAGTTTCTTTCAATGGAGAAACCAAACTCAGATGACTTCACCTCCAAGAGACACAACAGTTTCCACTGGACACGAAAAGTCGGATCAGACGAAAACGACGACGTTTCTCGTCCCGACAACAACACTAAACCACTTCCCAAACACAATCCTTCCTCCTCTTCCAAAAGAAAACTCCAAACTTTCGCCGTCTCTCGTCTCCGTTCAGTCATCTCCTCACTCAGCAGAGCCCGACCCGGTAACAACAACAACAACAACAACTCCGGACTCGGATCCCGGGTCGTGGGTACCCTCTTCGGATCCCGTCGCGGACACGTGCATTTCTCCGTCCAGAAAGATCCGACTTCCCCACCGGCGTTTCTCATCGAGCTCGCTACTCCGATAAGCGGACTCGTCAAGGAGATGGCCTCAGGACTCGTCAGGATCGCTCTCGAATGCGACAAGGCCAAGGAGCTGGAAGGAGAAGACGAAACTCGCCGTCGCGGCGGTGGAAAGGTTACGGTTCCACGGCGGTTGGTGGAGGAGCCGGTGTGGAGGACTTACTGCAACGGGAAGAAGTGTGGGTTCGCGACGAGGAGAGAGTGTGGTGAGAAGGAGAAGAGAGTTTTAAAGGCGCTTGAGATGGTTTCCATGGGCGCCGGAGTTTTACCAGAGACGGCGGAGATGTCCGGCGGCGGTATCGGCGGCGATGGCGGCAGTGGTAGTTTTGGCGGCGGTGGTTATGGCGGTGTCGGCGGCGGTGGTGGCGGCGGTGGTGATGGTGGTAGTGACGGTGGTGGTGGTAGTGGCGGTGGTGGTGGCGGTGGCGGCGGTGGAGATGGAAGTGGAGGTGGTGGCGGTGACGATGGCGGCGGTGGTGGAGGGGATGTAATGTATATGAGGGCGAAGTTTGAGAGAATCGTGGGGTCGCGTGACTCTGAAGCTTTCTATATGATGAATCCTGATAGTAATGGAGCTCCTGAGCTTAGTATCTATCTACTAAGAATCTGATGAAGACGACGAATCGAAGAAGATGAATCCTACCAAAAGCTTCTACAAGAAAGGGAAGGTTTATCGGTTCCGGTTTAGTTACTTTAAATAGTCGGTTAAGTGGTTCTTTTGGGGAATTAAAGTAGAATACGCAAAAATTCGTAACTGAGACGAAAACGACATATCTATTATTGCAGTTCGGATTAATATGTGAATGTGATCAATCGGTCGATAATGTGTTAGAGCAAGTTTTTTTTTGGGGAGGTGGGTTTAGGAGGTTTAAAACTTTGGTATATGGATTTGGAGGACTTGTAAATGTATAAATTTCGGTTTTTTTAAATTGTGTAATCTTTTTGTTGTTTTAAAAATGTTTATGTTATCATGGAGGCGCCCAGCCTGTAGAATCATAATGATTAAAGTCTTGATTTGTTTCACATTTCCATTAGTATAGTGGTCACTAAAATCGTGTTTTAAAGTGTAAAATCATCATTGATTTCGCTGATCCAAGGATTATAATAGTAGACTGAATTGTATGGACCATTTGGACCATACATTATAAAGAACCAGTACCTATAACGACGCATTATATTCCTCTATGTGGGTCTATCTATTAGATTTCCGAAATTAAACCTAATTTGGGAGATTATAGCTTTCCACCCACTTAAGAGATTTTATATGAGAATGGCCAAACAATCAAGAAACTTGAGATAAAAAAAAAAAAATATTAAGATTCATTAATACGTTGGTGTTAGTGATCATGTAATTCTGCATTTAGGTGTACAACTAACTAATTAAGTTTTTAAATCTTCTGACCAAAAAAAAATTCTGACCAAAAAAATTAAGTTTTTAAATCTTGAAGGCATCGTCGTCAACTACAGAGCCGGACGACGTACAATGTTACTGCTGTTGTATGTCTTTTCCCTAGTTTCAAGGCTTTATTTTTGGCTATCATATACCAAAGTCTATATGAGTATTTAAATGCCGGGGAGCTTCTGCTTTTATTTTTACTTTCATGGTATATTTAAACAAATAATTGTTAAGCTATAAACTCATAATTTGGAATGTTTTCATATAAACTCATCGTATACAAAACAAAAATATTCTTATATAGTAAATGTTTTCATAGAAACTTTGTCTTTCCACAGAAAAGCAGTTGTTTGTACATTCACAAAGCACATATCCGATTTAGATTACACTACACGATACTCAAGGAACGTGTTTTCTTCTTTTCCCTTCCTTTTTAACGTTAAAGAACAGATTTTACTAATAAGAAATTTGAAAGTTTTTTTCATGAGAATTTGCAAAAGAGGCGAAAGCTGATGCCTACGGCTACTACAACAGTTAAATATTTAAAATTATAAAAAAAGAAACAAGAAGGAACCGAACCAAAAAAGCTTCGACCAAAAAAAAAAGAAGGAACCAAAAACGACACGTTTAGGCGTTGAGTGTTTTATATGTTTCTGCATATACTAAATTTGACTACGATTAAAAGCTATTTCATTTTTTTACTGTAGTCATTTTAAAAAAACTAGTGTTTACCAGTTTTTTTTCTTTTTTTTGGTCAATTCGGTCACTTTAGACCCAAATACTCAAACTGAGATAAGGAAGGATCGAAACCTTAACGCCAAGGCCCGAAGGCAGAACTCAATTGCCATTTGACTACAAACAACCCGACAGTGTTTACCAGTATTCATAGTTTGAAATATCTCATGCAGTTTAGGAAAAGTTAGTGCTTAAAGCTACAAGCTCAGAGTATTCTCTAAGAACATGGGTAAAAAGATTATGATGGTGCATTAATCTTTATGCTTCCTGGATACATAGCATATTCGAGTGTCTTAGTTAAGATATGATTCCCGTTATTTGTTAGAAACAAACCGGGTTAGTATTTATAGTTCATAACTCACTGGAATTAGTTTACAACTTGACCGATATTCCCAATTATTGTTTTTGACTTTTGTCCCTTATATGTTTAAATAACTTTTAGCTTCTGGCTATAGAATTTGACTCCATGATTTGAAGCATGATCAGTATGTAAAACTCTCACTTCACATATAAATATAACACATATTTTTGGATAGAAAACAAAATTTAGAAGGAACGTTTTTGAAAATACTGTTAATTTACGGTTACAAAAAAAAATTCTGTTAATTCATAGCATTCTTTTGTTTTGTTTCCGTGAAAAATATATTATACCGTAGTCCATATCCATACATTTGAAGCTCAATATGATTCATGATAAAATAAAATAAAAAGAATTATAAATTGAAGCCAGTTAAGCTCAATGTATAATTTTAATTTTTAATCCAGAGTGAAGCTTGGATGGCCGGACAACTAGTTCAATGTTTATAATGTTTTGTGTCTATTGTTTTTTGTTATCCCCCCTAACATTAACGGCTATGAAATACTATCAAAGAGAGACACCTCACGAAGTAATGAGTAAATATACTTTTGCTTTCAAGTAAAATAAAAGAACTAACTATTTGCTTTAAGATAAAGTACGGAATTTGCGAGTCTTCGACTATCTTTATTTCAACTAGTTCACTATTTTAACAAAATTTTAAAGAATCTTTATGATAAACCAAGTTGGTAATATATCAAAATTTTATTTAACAATAAGTAACATATCAAAACATTTTAATTAAGCTTAGTAGTAATCTTTTGGTGTTTGGTGTGTATCCATATTAGTCATAGATTCGATTCCACCTGAGAACTAAATTATCATTATTTGGTTAGTCTAGGTTTGGGTTTCGTCGTAAATGGTTTATATGGTGGATCATAACAGGTGATCGGTTCACCCTCTGACATTAGTTGAAAGTTATTCTAAACTCGGATCAGACGGTGTAATAGTAGCCAATCCACTCTATAACACTAAGTGCGTTCCTCCCGGATCAATCGGATCACCCAATATAGTTTATAAAAAAAAAAAATTCTAACTAGCTCCCAATCCTTATCCATATCTTAACATGCCTTAAATTTATAACTAGAGGCCCATTAAAAGCCCAACCTCTGTAATTTATTCATTTTTTTGGATAACAGTAATGAAAATGGAAAACAATTAGTCATAAATCTGAAATTTTACAATTCTTTTTTCTCCTCAGCTTCGATCTTCCAACCTCGACGACTCTCATCAGAGTCAGTGTGCATCGTCATCACAAACCGCCTTCGTAATCTCTTCGCTACTACTACTATGATCTTTCTGCAAACAATCTAATCGAAGATGGATTCACTTCTCTTCGAAGATTTTGGTCAGAAGGTTGATTTGACGCGACGGCGGGAGGTTTTACTGAACTACCCGGAAGGAACCACCGTGCTCAAGGAGCTCATACAGAACGCTGACGACGCGGGAGCTACACGTGTCCGCCTCTGCCTTGATCGCAAGGGTCACGGTTCGGATTCTCTGTTATCGGACTCTTTGGCTCAGTGGCAGGGTCCGTCTCTGTTGGCTTATAATGATGCTATTTTCACTGAGGAGGATTTCGTTAGTATCTCGAGGATTGGTGGGAGTGGGAAGCATGGTCAGGCTTGGAAGACTGGTCGATTTGGGTAAAGTTTTCATTTCTTTATATTTTTACTAGTTTGAGGTTGGGAGCTGAAACTCGTTATCCCCGGACGCGAAACCACAATATGTAATATTAGTTAATACTCTTTCGGTTTCAATTTAGTTGTCGTTGTAAAATAAAATTTAGGTTTCAAAATGCAAATTTTACTAATGGTATCATATTTTTTTTTGCTATATTGGTTGAAATGTAGTTAGATTTATAGGTGATGATGTTTTTAGTTAAATAATTTGTAAAATTAAATGTTTTCTTTGGACTGTGGGAAATGTTCCACTTTACTAGTGAATGTGAGAATATATTCCAACTTTCCTACTGATTGTGGGAATAATGATTGCGTGAATATGATGTTGTCTTGCCGTGATTTATGACTGCATTTGATCAAAAAAAAATAAAATAAATGTTTTCTTAATCTGTATGCATACAACTAGAATGAAACAGAGGTAGTATGTAATATTAGTTTTGTTTTACTGAGTATTATTCTGAATCTTCTGATTTTTGGTATAACAGGGTTGGGTTCAATTCAGTGTACCATTTGACTGATATACCTTCCTTTGTGAGTGGCAAGTACGTGGTGTTGTTTGATCCTCAGGGTGCTTATCTTCCTAATATCTCAGCAGCAAACCCAGGGAAGAGAATTGATTTCGTTGGCTCTTCAGCATTGTCTCACTATGAGGATCAGTTTCGTCCTTACTGTGCCTTTGGATGTGACATGAAAACTCCTTTTAATGGTACTTTGTTTCGTTTCCCTTTGAGGAGTTCAGGGCAGGCAGCGTCTAGTAGGCTTTCGAGGCAAGCGTATTTTGAAGACGACATTTCTTTGATGTTTGATCAACTCTTCGAGGAAGGGGTTTTCTCGTTGCTTTTTCTTAAATGTGTTTTGTCTATTGAGATGTACACATGGGATGCTGGAGATCCAGAGCCTAAGAAGCTTTATTCATGTTCATGCTTAAGGTTAAAACTAATGTGTAAGATTGATTGGATTTGTTTTCTTTTGTCACCTGCAGCCTGTGAATGAAACGCAATATGGACGAGTCACAGCTAAAGAATTAGTTGAGGCGGTTCACGAGATGCTCTCTGCAGCTGGAATCAATATGGAACTAGAGAATCAATCATTACTACAGAGAACCATAACCCTTCAAGAAGAACTCAAGGACTCTCAAGCAGCATTTATACTTGAACAGGTTTGGTTACAATAAACTCAAAACACGCATATTATAAGCATAATGATTATGATAGCAAGAAAACGTGTCTTTGACTTTGATTTTCTTGCAGGAGAGAGCAGAGGCTTCGTTGAAAGAAGCAGAGACGGCGAAATCACAATGGGTTTGCAAGATATGTCTGATCAAAGAAGTGGACATAACCATTGTACCATGCAGACATGTCTTGTGTCGAGAATGTTCAGCTTCAGTCGCTAGATGTCCCTTTTGTCGTCTTCAAGTCACTAGAACCATCCGAATCTTCCGACCATAAACAAAACCACCTTAAATATCATCATATATCAATCACTATTTATCCAAAAGGTTTTGTCCTCTCTATACAAACAGTTTCTGCTGATTCGTTAGCAGCTTTGTATATACGTATAGCTTATGTTTTCGCTGTGTCTTATTTAAGTTATGAAAGTATTATTCAAGCAGCTATCAACATGTCTCTCAGCAAAAAAAAAAATCATGTTGTCTCCAATTTTAATTTATTTCGATTATGGAAAAATTTGAAACTTTCTTGAGGTTGTTAACTCTAAACTTTCTTGACAAAAAGATAAGTACATGCAGTAACTTGGTGAAGAAGATTTCGGTTTTTTTGGGCTATTAGTGGGCCTAATTTGTTGATGATGGGCTTACAGTGTCATAATATTCTACTGGAAGAAAGCAAACTGACCAATGAATCATATAACGACACGTGGTGGACTACGTAGACGTTAGATGACAACCACTCAGATAAGAAGGAGAGAGAAAGCAAACAAAGGATATGTGGCGGGAGATAGCTAGAGAAGAAGAGAACAGACTTCAATGGCGTCACTGCAACTCTGCGACGGTTATCTTCTCTCTAAGCCCTCCTCTGTATCTCCACGATTCCGTCTCCCTCACCGTCTCATCCCAAAAGCCTCCGCTTCTCCTCTTCCTCCTCCTCCACCATCTTCTTCATTGTCTCTCACTCGTCGAGATCTTCTCTACCAATCTGCAGCAGTATCACTCTCCTTTTCCTCCATCGTCGGACCTTCTAAAGCAGATGAACAGTTATCAGAATGGGAAAGAGTCTTCCTCCCAATCGATCCCGGTGTTGTTCTTCTCGACATTGCTTTCGTCCCCGACGAACCTAGCCGCGGTATACTCCTTTTCTACTCTATACCGAATTATACCACAAGTTAAATTACATTTAAAACTGTACCGGAAACTAAACCAAACCGATCCTATGGCTAATATTCACTCACAAGCTTTTAAGATTAAGTGTGTCAGTTACTAATCATATGATATAACAAACAATTAGGGTTTCAACAATTGTGGCCCTGTTTGTTTAGGTGTCACGCAATCTGCGACGACTACTTGTGACCTGCGAACTAAAATCATGTTCGTTTACATATGGCTCGCTATTTTTTTGGGTGATTTGAAATCGGATCCTGTACCGGAAACGAAACCAATCGTATGGCTAATATTCAGAAGCTTTTAAGGTTAAGAGTGTCAGTTACTAATCATGTGATATAATAAAATAATTAGGGTTTTTGCTGGGAACGAGGCAAACTCTGTTAGAGACTAAGGACGGTGGGAACACGTGGAATCCACGATCAATCCCTTCAGCTGAAGAAGAGGATTTCAATTACAGATTCAATTCGATTAGTTTCAAAGGCAAAGAAGGATGGATTATTGGGAAGCCTGCTATCTTGTTGTACACTGCTGATGCTGGAGAGAATTGGGATAGAATTCCCCTGAGCTCTCAGCTTCCTGGTGATATGGTAATTATTTACTATTACTAAAGTCTTTTTTTTTTTTTCCTCCAGAGCTTTATGGAGAATGTAAAGGTTGTTGTTGTTGCAAATGGTGTTGTTGTAGGTGTTTATAGAGGCGACTGGAGAGAAGAGTGCAGAGATGGTTACTGATGAAGGTGCTATCTATGTTACTTCTAACAAGGGGTATAACTGGAAAGCTGCTATTCAGGAAACTGTTTCAGCTACTTTGAACAGGTTCTCTTCATTACTCTAACTTTGGTCTGTGTCAGCTACTTTGAATAGTTTCTTCATTACTCTACCTTTGGTTTACAGTGACAGCAAAATCAACCATTAAGAGCAAATGATGTAGAAAAAAATCTATTTGTTTGGTAATTGACAAAGTAGAGTACCTGACTTTGTATATTTATTCCAATGGTTTTACAGAACGGTTTCCAGTGGAATTAGTGGTGCTAGTTACTACACGGGAACATTCAGTGCTGTTAATCGTTCACCAGATGGAAGATATGTAGCTGTTTCGAGCCGTGGTAACTTCTTTTTGACATGGGAGCCTGGGCAGGTGAGCCTTGTTTAATTATATGTCAGCATTTTTACTCGTGTTGCTTTGTGTTTGTCCTTCCTAGGACATATCTAAGTGAAGTTTGTAGTGCACAGGATCAGTCCAGTTAGTTTTCTCATAGCTGACTATTTAGCACCAATTTGTCAAATGAAAATAAGAGTATTAGCATGTGTAACAATCCATCGGCCGGACTTTTGATCTAACTAACTAGTGATAAGAGTAAACTACTGTGTCTAGGCAAACAGTGTATCTTAAGCGGTATTCAATCCCTCTTTTTCTTATTGTTTATGTGTGTGTGTGGGGTATGGTTGGTCTTCAAACCGTCGTTGACCATAGTATTGGAACAATGCAGCCTTACTGGCAACCACACAACAGAGCGGTTGCAAGAAGAATTCAGAACATGGGATGGAGAGCTGATGGTGGTCTTTGGCTTCTTGTTCGTGGTGGAGGACTTTATCTTAGCAAAGGCACTGGGGTAAGTAACTGCAACGAGACTCTCCTCACTCTTTTTTGCTTTTCACTTTGTATTCCCTGAACGTTTCCTTGCAAGCGTATGGATTTATGCCACGAACTAAGACTAAACACAGTTTTCTTGTGATTCGAATTCTATTTCTATCCTTATGGTCCAAATCAGTTGTACATCTGAATCTGTTCTCCACTGTGTAGATTTCAGAGGAGTTTGATGAAGTTCCAGTACAAAGCCGTGGCTTTGGCATTCTAGATGTTGGTTATCGCTCAGAGGTACATGATAAAATTTACGAAAACATACTTCTAATCTTTGAATGGCACAAAGATTCTTACACCAACTTTTGTTGTCGTGTAATTGCAGGAAGAAGCATGGGCAGCAGGAGGGAGTGGGATTCTACTGAGAACAAGAAATGGAGGAAAGTCATGGAACCGTGACAAAGCTGCCGATAATATCGCAGCTAATCTATACGCGGTCAAGTAAGAGTCTCTAATCAAACATCAAAAACGCAATCAGCTTCACAAACTAACATACTAATCAGCTTTTTAAACCATATTTATGTTTTTGCAGATTTGTGGATGACAAGAAAGGGTTTGTGCTTGGAAACGATGGAGTCTTGCTTCGATATGTTGGATAAACGAAAAGGTGAAACTGAGAGACTCGTTTTTTGTTTTAGCCTTTCTCTGTAAAGCGTGTGCTGTGTTTTGATATAACATTACAAAAGTACTGTCATACATTCCCACCATGCATGAGAAATATATATAAACTTTAAATATATTTACCCCATTTCTGTTTCTTGTGGGAAAGCTTTGTTTGACTGGTAGTTGGATTTGGGTTGATTGAATCTAAAACTAATCTATGCTTATTAGTAAATTTAATCCAACTAACAATATTCTAAGGAATATTCTCATTTAATGTTACCGTGTAGGCACCGAACGAACTGTATATCAAAGCTGTAACGCGGTTTTATTTTTCCACATTTGTAAATAAACAATTTGTCGTTACGTTTTAAAATTCAAAAGGTGTTGTATTATTTTGTGGCGACGAGGAAGGGGCAGAGATCTCTCGTTCGTTTGTTTTTCCCGGAAAATCCGACAAACGGAAAAAAAAAAAAGAAAGCTAAAACATCATCACCAATCTAGGAGAAAAATCGTTACTTTCACTCCACGAGTTTTCACCTCTCTTTCTTTCTCAACCTCTCACCATCCCTCTTCCTCATTTTCTCCCCTTCCCAAAATTCTCATCAGATCTAGTTTTAATAATTGTGTTAAAGCTCAAACCAATTCAAATGCTTACGGATCGAGGGAGGCGAGTTTCTATCTGTATCGGAACTCTTGAATATGGCAACAGAAAATTCCGTGGTAATAATGGTTGTTACGGCGGTTTCGTTGATCGATCGTCGGAGAGATGTCGCGATTGGATTCCTACAAAACCACCTGTTTCGAGGATCCTTCGTATCTCTTCACCGACAACTTCTCCACCGTCGGTGACTTCTCCTGTCTCCCTGAATTGCTCATACTCTAACGGCGCTGGCTATATTGAACATCGTGTGTCCAAGTTTGATACTCTCGCTGGTATTGCCATCAAGTACGGTGTTGAGGTATGTATGCTTTCTCTGTTTTTGTTTTTGTTTTTTTTATGTAATTGAACTTACCATGAGATGATCGAATATTGTAAACGCTTTTTGTCCTGATTATTACCTTTCCAGAAAGAAAAATAATGTTTTTTTTTTCTGTAATATCTGTTAATAGAAAAATGTAGACCTGTCTTGATAAAAAAAAATGTAGACCTGTCAAAAAAAAAAAAAGATAAATGTAGACTTTTTACTAGAAACAATTCATTGTTGATCCTCACTATCGCAATTTCATTACTTTTGATGCTGGATTTGTTTTTTTTTTCTTTCTAAAATATCCTAATAGATTGTTTTTTTTTGTTCCCAGGTTGCAGATATCACAAAACTAAATGGGCTTGTAACTGATCTTCAGATGTTTGCTCTCAACTCTCTCCGGATTCCATTACCTGGGAGACATCCTCCTTCTCCATGCTTATCTAACGCCTCAATCAGTAATGGGTACTTTTTATCCTCTGTCTTTTACTTTAATTACTTGTATGCTAGCATAGAAAGTGGTAGCTGTAATAACTTGTAAGCATCCACATATCAAGTAATCCTATCTCCATGATTGATATATAAAAATCTTCTTGCAGAGAGGATTGCTCTGAGGAAGCACCAGCAAGCAATGGCAACCTCCACGATGTGTTTGACCCGTTTCAGTCTCTGAGGCTGAAGCCTTCAGAGACAAAGATCTCACCAGCCATGGACTCATTACAAGGCTACTATGGACTGAAACCAAGAAACAAAAGAGCTTCTCAAGGTTCAGAGATGGGAGCTTACAAGAAAGAAGCTTCTCATCTCCACCAGTACCTAACACCCGTCCCAGCCACTAGTACTCCCTTAAACCAGCACAGAAAATCCAGAAGCCTTGTAGATGCAGTTATCGCCGAGGTCAACCAACAGTCCAAGGAAGTGATGCCAATGAGAAGACGCCAAAGATCCGAAGCTGATTTCAGTTGGAGAACCACTCCAGAATTGGTTTTGAAGGAGGGCAGAAACAGCAGTGGCGGGTTTTCTGTGATAGCAGGGAAAGGTTTAGCACTTAGACCCAAAGCATCGAGCAGAACTAACTTGTCATCAGCAGATATGTAATTGATGCTTTTGTGGGAGATAAATTGTTTTGGTTTCTGTGAATCCAAAAGCAAACAAGGTAATATGGTAGTGGGAGAGTAAATACAAAGTAGAGTGTAGGATCATTGTGCATTTGGCAGATTTGCACACTGCATTGCATTTATTTAAAAACAATAAGAAAGCAATTTGTTGTGAGTGAGTGTTAGATCAGGCATTAATGTATTTTTTGTGTGTGTTGGAATTCTCAAGTAATAAAACTTTATTGGATGATTAAGGCTTTGTTTGCTTATGTGTTGCTAAAATAATATATTTTATTATTCTTATTTTTATTCAATAATATTTTTATCTATTTATTTGATTTAAAATTTGTTAAATGTAATTTATATTCATAATTTTGATCATAATATACAATTTTAAGTTTTTATATTCTATATGTATGTTTTATATTGTTCTGAACATGAAAAAATATTAATGTTATATACAATTAAAATTAACATATTTTATAACATATTAAATAATCTAAAAATTATGTTTTTCATAATTTTTGTTTAATCCTCAATTTTTTTAGATACTAAATCTAATTTTATCGTCCAACTAGCTTCTAGTGGTTCCCAAACAAAGGTCTCAGATCATTATGTCTGATAACGAGACGGCCAATAGCAATTCACAGAAACATGTGACAACAAAAATAATAATATTTGGGGTTTAATTGGTTGATGCTAGGGCTTATATTTTTATCCGGGATCGGGATTCGATTTGAGATCTGTTCCGGATTCGTTTTGAAATTAGGATATCCGAGGTGTCCGGATCCAAATACGGATAGTAAAATCTCGGATCCGTGCAAACTAAATCCAAAACTAAATATTTTAATTTTTTTGTCTAGATATTCAGATTCGTATCTGTATTTTTAAAAATATATTATTTTTTATTTTATTATTATATTTTAACTGGAGCTTTTAAGATTTTTGCTTAGATTTTGTTTGTTATAAAACTCACCGATTCATTAATAAATTTCTAAAACACTATTTTTTGCTGTGAAAATATTTGTGTCTACAGCTCCAAAGTAGAAGAAAAAAAAAACGAAGCTGTGGATTTCAAAATCAACACAAAGTTTAAATATTATAACTGTAGAAATATTTTTCTGGCATTGTACAGCAACCAAATAACAAATCAATCAACCTCTTGGTCTAGATTACAGTTATATTATCTAGGTCTAGAATATAGCTAAATCGCTGGGATATGCAAACAAACATGGTCTAATCATAATAATAAACATTTCTTTTTTTCCGATAAAGAACAAATCTGAAAATCCCTAAAAACTTATTTCATCCCTCGACCAAAAAATCACTCTTCCTCTCTCTCTGAGCAAAAACAACCCTAAAAGTATCCAATGATGAGGGGTATTGTCACCGGCACCGCCAAGAGGCTCTCAACTCCATCATTAACGTCGACGACCACCGCCTCTGCGAGAAGAAGCTACAGCTTGATCCCAATGGTTATCGAGCACTCGTCGCGAGGAGAGAGAGCTTACGACATCTTCTCTCGATTACTCAAGGAGCGTATCATCTGCATCAACGGCCCAATCAACGACGATACTTCTCACGTCGTCGTCGCGCAGCTTCTCTTCCTCGAATCCGAGAATCCGTCCAAGCCGATCCATATGTATCTCAATTCGCCTGGTGGCCACGTCACCGCCGGTACGGTTTTCGCTTTTCATTTGACTTTTTTTTTAATAAAGATTGTGGATAAGTGTGATTGGGAATCGAATTGCTACTTTGTTGAATGGTTACATGCTTAGATGGTTAGTGAATGTTGGTTTAGTGTTAAAGGGCTCAAGTTTTTTTAACAGAAACAACAATGTTACATCTATTGTAAAACTATTTTTTTTTTAATCTGAGTATAGTTTAACATTCATTAAAAAAATAGTGTTGGTTTAGTGTATTTTATTTAAGCTTTCTAGCTGTACCGATCAAAAGACTCGATCTTTTTGAGGTTTTTGCTATCAAAGTAGTTCACTTGATTCATGCAATGAGAGACTGCTGGGATGTATCACAGTTAGTAGTGATGTTTTGCGGAACTTAAGTGATTTAGTAAAGGCATTATTTTTTTTTTCCATATAGATCAGACATGTTCAGATAGAAGTTCTTGGAGGACAGGACAAACTCATCTGATCCAAACTTTGTCTAACTGTAGCTGAGAGAACGAAATGTATCACAGTTAGTAGCAATGTTTTGGGGAACTTAAGTGATTTAGTAAAGGCATTATTTTTTCTGGTATAGATCAGACAAGGTCAGATAGAAGTTCTTCTTGGAGGACAGGACAGTCTCATCTGATCCAAACTTGGTCTAACTGTAGCTGACAAAACAAAATGAATGTATCACAGTTAGTAGTGATGTTTTGGGGCCTTTAAGTGATTTAGTGAAGGCATTATTCTTTCCATATAGATCAGACACAGTTAGATAGAAGTTTTTCTCAGAGGACAGGATAGTCTCATCTGATCCAAACTTGGTCTAACTGTAGCTGACAAAACAAAAAAGTGATTTTGTAAAGATTTGAATAAATTTTTGTTTCTTACAAATTTGGATGCCTATGTAATTTCTTCAAAAAAAATTAGGAGATTAGAGGCAGATGTTTTTTTTTTTTGGCTTTTCCCAGGACAGGCTCTGCGACTAGGTTGGTTAAATTTTTATTATTGTTATTATGGCTTCTCTAGTGAATCCGCTCCTTTGTTGTGCTTGTTAAATTCAGTGTCCACAATTCTCATTTTGTGACGAAATTTCAAAATCTTGGTGATCCATCTCTTTTTAATCTATGATGCAGGTCTTGCGATTTACGATACTATGCAGTACATCCGTTCTCCGATAAGCACAATCTGTTTAGGCCAGGCTGCATCAATGGCTTCTCTCCTCTTGGCAGCTGGTGCCAAGGGACAGAGGCGGTCTCTGCCGAATGCATCGGTTATGATTCATCAGCCTTCAGGTGGGTATAGTGGTCAGGCTAAGGATTTAACGATTCACACGAAGCAGATTGTTCGTGTGTGGGATGCTTTGAACCAGCTGTATGTGAAACACACGGGTCAACCCATCGATGTGGTTGAGAAGAACATGGATAGGGATAATTTCATGACCCCTGAAGAGGCTAAGGCGTTTGGGATAATCGATGAAGTGATTGATGAGAGGCCGTTGGAGTTGGTGAAAGATGCAGTTGGGAGTGAAAGCAAAGATAAGAGTTCAAGTTGAAGGAAGTCACTCTGGTAATCAAAAGTAATAAAATTTCTCTTTCTTTTACTTGAGTTTAAGATCACACTTCTCTATGGGTTTATTTATTTTTATCATTGGACTATATGTTTCAGAACTATTTTCGTTGCATGTTTACAGTGTCATATCTGATTTGAGTTGAATGGATAAATTCCAGGGTCAGTCTGATCCAATACACTTGTTTTGTTAACTGCACATTCATTTGAACTAAGTAGAAAGTTTAGAATGATGAGATCGTAATGTACTTTCAGAAATCTTAGTTATATTTTAGTTAAGTGAAAAATTGATGATGTAGTCGTCGAGCTATTATTGGCTTTCATTAAAGTTTTGTGATTATTTTGTGTTATAGAACACATATTATCAGATTTTTGTGGTAACTATTGAAATTCGATTGAGTTCTTGGAAATAAAAGAGAAAGAAAGGCTCTTTTAAGATCTGTCTTTTAAGGAATCTTGTCATGTTGAGGTATTCCGAGCATTTGATGTTTTGCTCTCAATTGTTTTTGGACAACCATAAAAGGTTTTTTAATATTCAAGCATAATTATTATTTATGTTTTATGTGTGTGTTTATTTTTTTGGTATGGTTTTGGTTATATAATGGAAGCGTGTAGGAAATATTTGTTTACAAAATAAAATAAAAGGATTTGTATGATTTAACCAAAAAAAAAAAGAAAAAGAAACAAAAAAGGAGAATTATGTTGGATTAGGATTTGGATTGGATCTCTCTTTTTTTTATTTATGTAAATAAAAAAGGGGAATAAAACGCCGACAAGGAGTAAACCAATAAGTTCTCAGATAAAAATCCCATTGCAAAAGTTTTGTTTCAGCCCTAATCGTCCCGCGACCGCTTCAATCTCTCTCTCTCTCTGTGGATCAAAGCCCTCTCTTTCTCTCTCGCTCGCTCCGTCGCTGTCGGCTCAACCAGCGACGCTTCCTTCCTCCGGTGGAACAGTTTCCGTATTGGAATCGGAGTCTTCGTATTGGTTTCTTGGATCGAATTGGATTGGGAAATTCTGTTGGTTGGGATTCTTAAAAAATTAGGGTTTATATTCGCCTATGGCTCCGGGGCGTAAAAGAGGAGGAAGCAAGGGTAACGCCAAGGGGAAATTGATCCTCGGTGATCTCGTTCTTGCCAAAGTCAAAGGCTTCCCTGCTTGGCCTGCTAAGGTACCTCCACCTCGATTTCTATTTTCTATTCCAATTTTTGTTTTTTTTCTATCTCTAATTCCTTCCTGCATAGTCCTTAACCTGTCTTCATCTCTTCGTTCGTTAAGTTTGGTTTCTGTAATTGTTAGTAATTGGCATCTGATAAACGGGACACATTAGCTTTGTAGAAGTTTATCGGTTGATGAGCTCTATCCTTCTTGTTCTCTCTTGTATATCTTACTATATACTAGTCTTCCTGATATTGAGACGGATTTTAAAGTTAGATTACTTCTCTAGTTACTCGGTCAGATTCTTAGGTTGAAGTATGAAAAAAATTCATATATGTTACTAAAAGGTTTCATCTCGATGTATTTACTGAGCGTGAAAGTCGTTTGAGTCTGTCTATTCTCTCTGGTGAAGAAATTTGGTTTTTGATTTTTCAGATTAGCAGTCCTGAAGAGTGGGATCGTGCGCCAGACCCAAAGAAGTACTTTGTGAAGTTCTTTGGAACTCAGGAAATGTAAGCAACTCTCTCTTTCTTCCTTCTATTATATGTAGACAGATTTTTCGTTATGCTTTGATCCCTGTTATTCTTGAACTTTCGTACCTTCCCATCAAGAAAGTTGTATCAACTTTAGTCAATATACCATGTTGAATTCTCGTAGCATCTCCGGTATCAGGTGTTACCAGATATGTTTTTTTCGCTTACTATATCTTTGGACATGATTTTTTCCCTTGCGTAGTTCACTGACTTAAGTTATGTTCCTTTACTGCAGAGCTTTTGTTGCACCGCCTGATATCCAAGCCTTCACTAATGAGGCAAAGAGCAAACTGTTAGCAAGATGTCAAGGTAAAACACTCAAGTATTTTGCGCAAGCTGTAACGGAAATATGCACCGCTTTTGAAGAGTTGCAGAATCGCAAGTCAAATGTTCTAGATGCTGAGGAGCCTGGTTTAACCGGGGCTGAGATAGTGGATGGAACAGATCATATAGTCACTGATTCTGATGGAACTGAAAAGTTTGATTCTAGGGCGGATCCTTGCGTCCCCAAATCAGATAAGAATGATGGCTATTCATCCCCGGTTAGTGAGTCACTGGCTCCTGGTTCACACGACCCTAAAATAAAGGCAGAAGATTTTGATAAAGGAACTGGGGGTGATGGTTGCATTAATGGTCAAAAGAATCTGGCGAGAACAAAGAAGGTAGCAGGTGGCTCGGACAAAAAAGGTGATACATCTCACAAAGACAAAAGCAGTAACTCACATGTGCCTGATGGTCGATCTGCTAGTGGTAAATCTGATTCAAATAAGTCAAAAGATATGTTGACAGAGAAATCTAGTACCAAATTTTCTGGAGGTAAGCACGGAAATTCACCTGGCGTTAAGAGTGGGGTTTCAGGCCAGAAAAGAAGGCTTGAAAGTGAACCAGGGAAGCCTGCTCCAAGACTAGATGAAATCTCACCTGCTGCTAAAAAACCGCGAGTTGAAGGTAAAAATGGCAGCGTGAAGTGTGAAATTGGTGATGAAACTGATCCTACTGTGGCTGGATCAGATATTAAGCATGAACTTGTTTTAGGAATAAGTGCTCGTCGAGGAAATTTACAATATGAAAAAGAAGTAGGAAAGAGCCGCAAACAAACAGTGGAGCATGATACCTCTCCTTCTTTTTCTAGGTCTCGTGGTAAATCGGGGAAAGAACATCTAGAACAGAAAGCTCGTTCATCCTCTGTTGGTAACGCTAAGGTTCCAGATGCACAAACTCTGAAAAGACGAAGGGCTGTTTGCATCTATGACGAAGATGATGATGAAGATCCAAAAACCCCATTACATGGAAGTCGAGCTGCTGTTCCCAGAACATCAGAATTAACTGATGATCCCAAAAGTGGTAAGACCTCTACTACTAAAGCTAAGGTATCTGCTGGACCTACAGAGAGTACTGTAAGGAAAGCACCTCTGCGTAAACATTGTGAGGATGCTTCACGTGTATTATCAGAAAATGTGGAGAATTCTTCTAATAGCTTACCCATAGTAAAACCTATTAATGAGTTGCCGCCAAAGGATGTCAAGCAGATCGTTGGATCTCCTAAGATGTCTCCTCAGTTGGGTTCATCTAACAAGCACGTTACAGTACAGCAAAAAGCTGCAAATTCATCTGTAAAAGTTTCTGTTGCTGTGATGGCGAAGAAGCCTCAGAGTGATTCTTGTAAGGAGACAGTTGTGAGATCTGATAAAGTAAGTTCTTCTCAGTCTCAAGCTGATGAGAGACACAAACCAGCTTCAGTGAAGGATAGGCCAACAGTGGCTTTAAAAGCTGCTCCAAGTTTGAATGACGCTGGTATTACAAGAGACACTTCTGAGGACTTGTCTGCTGTGATGTATGTCATATCCTCTCTACAATCTTTTTGTGTTTATTTCGTCTGTTACTTAAAACTTTTTTTTCATATACAGGCTTGATTACAACAGAGAAAACAGGAGTGCTCCATTTATCAGCGCAAGGACCCCAGATGCGGCTTCCTCTATGAAGGATTTAATTGCAGCTGCACAGGCCAAAAGAAAACTAGCACATTCACAAAATTCAGTTTTTGGGAATTTGAACCCTAGTTTCTTAAGCATCAGTGATGCACAGATGAGGAGCCAAAGCCCATTTATGGTTCAGAATGCTTCAGCTTCTGCTCCAATTGCAATGCCTTTAGTTGTTGAACCACGTCAACAAGATTCTTCTCCTTCAAATCATGGTCGTCAGTCCTCATCAAGAAATCAAAATGAGGCTGATGATAATGAAGAGAGAAGACTTAGTTCAGGGCATAAATCAGTTGGAGGTTCACTTAGTGGTGGTACTGAGGCTGCTGTGTCCCGAGATGCTTTTGAGGGCATGATAGAGACCTTATCAAGAACTAAGGAAAGTATTGGACGGGCAACACGCCTAGCAATTGATTGTGCCAAATACGGGATTGCTAATGAGGTAAGACGGTCAGTTGGTTTTCATTTATGTTCTGAGGTTTTGAACAATCTTAGTGTGAGGCTGCATAGAAAATTAATTTAGAGTTGCACTTTTCTCGGCTTAACTTATTGGATGTGTAGTTTGCTACGTAAACTGCTTTAACAAAATTATTTAGAGCATTTGGTTTGCATCGTTTGCTTTAATGGGTAAATTTGTTTGTGTTCATGCTAGGTTGTGGAACTTCTCATACGAAAGTTGGAAAATGAACCTCACTTCCATCGTAAAGTGGATTTGTTCTTTCTCGTTGACTCTATCACCCAGTGTTCGCACAACCAAAAAGGTGAATTTTTCTCCTGGATGGATACAACACCAATTTCGTTCAGTGAATAATTGCTTATAGTATTTGGATTTAATTGTTTTTATTGCTTTCAAAGAGTAAAACTAATATGGTTAATCAGAATCTATCTTTACCTAAAACGTTTAATTATTTTTTGAGGCTTGTGAGTTCTTTTTGTAGGTATTGCGGGTGCTTCATACGTTCCTACTGTGCAAGCTGCTTTGCCACGTCTTTTGGGTGCTGCTGCTCCTCCAGGGATCGATGCTCGTGATAATCGTCGTAAATGTCTGAAGGTACTTTTTCAATTTGATCGTTCGAGGTTAACCTTGTGTTTTTGGCTGGATTTAGTGACCTCCTCACTTTTTTTAGGTTCTGAGGTTGTGGCTTGATAGGAAAATTTTCCCTGAATCTCTTCTGCGTCGTTATATTGATGATATTGGAGCTTCTGGCGATGATGGAACCGATGGGATTTCCCTACGACGTCCTTCTAGATCTGAGCGTTCTGTAGATGATCCTCTCAGAGAAATGGAAGGGATGCATGTTGATGAGTATGGCAGGTATGCTAAACGCTGGTCTTGCGTAGTAGTTTACCCGCTGGACTTTATATATATGTTGCTGATGACAAATAAACAGGCAAAGTCAATAGATGAGTTTGGTGTTATTCTGTCTTGTCTTATAAATTTATTTGCCATTGTTTTTTCTGCAGCAATGCTACTATCCAGCTGCCTGGGTTTTTCTCTTCTCATGCCTTTGAAGATGATGAAGAAGGTGAAGATCTTCCAACATCACATTCAGAAAAAGCAAAACCCACATCTTCTGGGCAACCTTTCAATACTTCAGATGACTTGGAAACACGTGATACTTTAAGTGATAGACACCATCAAGTTTTGGAGGATGTAGAAATGGGAGATGCATCTGGTGAGGGGGAAGATGTAGCACCTTCCGCTATCTGTGAGAATGAGACGAAGGAGCAGTCACTGGATGTTAGTGAACCAGTTGCGGAAAAGTTAACTGGGGTGCCTTCTCCTCCAGAGGATTCTCCTCCGCTACCACACGAATCACCTCCATCTCCCCCTCCTTTACCTCCTTCTCCACCACCTCCGTCTCCACCTCCACCTCCTCCGCCTTCATCTCCGCCTCCGGTGTTGCCACCACCACCTCCCACAGCGCAATTTCCACCTCTTCCTTCACCCCCGTCTCAACCTCCACCACCACCGCCCCTTACACCTCCACCTTCACCTCCACCTCCACCGCCTGCACAGTCTATAGCTTTACCAACTCAACCATCCATAGCGAGCCATCATCAGTTACCACCTCAATTAGGATTTCATCCTCCAGCATATCCATTATCGCATCAAACATACCCAGGATCTATGCAGCAAGACCGCTGTAGCATTTTCACTGTAAGTTCGTTGATTTATTCAGTTTGATATTACTCATAGTAACTGATATTACTCATAGTTCCCTATGTTTCCTATTTTATGTTTAAATTCCTGGTTATCATATGCAGGGTGATCAAATTGTCCAAGGGCCTGGAAGTTCTTCACGTGGAAGTCATGGTTCTTCACGTGGAAGTCATGTGCCGCAGCCATATAATTTTTCTCCAGCAGGAGTGTGCAGCTCCAGGGAGCCTTCAGCATTTACTTCTGAAGCTTCTTCACAGAACCAACGATTTCAGCCAAACACCACTCTCACGCAAAGACCTATGATTAGGAATCTGCCTTCAGTACCGTCAAGTCATTTTGCGTATCCAAGCCATATTCAATCTCAATCCTCGCATACCTACACTCATCCTTACTCTTTCCCACCTCAACGTGATGATGGACGGCGATATAGAGATGAGGAACCATGGCGGATGTCTTCAACTGGGCGTGGTGCAGAAAACCAGAGTGGTGCCTGGATACGTGGAAGACATTCACATCCAGGCCTTCCTAGAGTCACAGACAGTATGTAGATACTTCCATCCTTACAGACCCTCTTAATTGTTGACGTTTATTAACTTACTTGATTGCTTGTGAGCTTTATGATGTATTTGTTGATGTTTTCCAGCTTATATGTTTGTGTTATGGCTATCCTTGTGATTGATTATCTTATATTGCAATTCACTAGATTTCTTTCGGCCACCTCCAGAACGTCCACCTTTAGTGACAATGAGCTATCAACCTTCTTCTGCTAGTAACTTGCAAGCTGTCCCGGGCCCGGCAATTCCAGGTGAGACTATCTCAGCCAATACTTCTGATTGTGTAAACTCTTAAAGACACAGACAGAAAGTTTTATTCTTGCCTTACCATTTTAAATTACCCATTTAAGGTCATGCTGCTTCCCAGATGCTACCATCTCGGCCAGACCTGCCTGCCGGGAATTGTTGGCGACCAGCTTGAAGTGAAGGTAGAATTTTGTTGGCCTGCTCCTGTTAGTATCAAGGATAAAGAAGCTGCTAATGTTTCATTAACAAGGCTAATCCTCTAGGTTTGAGTTTCTAAATTCTAAAGTTAAGTCAGTGTTGTCATCAAACAGTTACAGTTATACTGCTTTCTCTTCCATGGAGGACCTTTTCGGATATATCCACTTCCAGAGGCATCAAAACTACTGCCGACTTTTGTCAGGAGTCTGTATATTGTATTTTTTCCTGACAAATGTATCTGGGGGATCATACTTCACAGTATAGTTTATTTAATTGGTTAGTACCTCCGCTTCTCAGTTCTTGTAATTATGCCAATCATAATTTGCACAAAGCTTTTACTGGTTAAATGAAATTTTGGAACTTCATGGTCAAATAGAGATTTTATATTTGATTTTCTAAGCTCTGTGATGAGTCTTTCATAACTAACTTTGCTGGTCTCGGAGAAATCACATTAAAGGATGTTCAGTGAAAGCCTGAATTTGCTCCTTTGTTCGTTCCCAGACTAGAGAGACCTGTTGCTTAGTCTGTATCTTGTTGTTTGAATGAGTGGCTGTCTGGCAGCTGCTATTTTATTGTAGACGTCCCTATAACTTCTCCACCCTGGAGAAGTTCCCTTCAAAATTTCCGTTTTCTTTCATGTAAAATTTTCCTTATGCCTCTATTCTGGAGATAAGCCATGTCTCCATGCCTCGTATTTTTAGCAGGAACCAGAAGCATGTGTTTCTGAGTCCACTCAGTCCATACAAGAATCTCCATATTGCTATTTGTGCACTGCTGAGCTAAAGAAGTATGTCGAAGACTTGTGAGGTACTGGTTTTTATTTGTTTGTCTGAATATGTGTTCTCCGCTCAAGTCATTTGTGTGTTAGTGACATAACGAGATTTTACTGCATAATTATGGTGAGCACTTGAAGAAGTATTTCTTACCATTTGATTTCTTATAGCCATTTGTTTTCCAGTTTTATGCACGTACATATTCGAGATGCTAGAATACTGAAAGAAAGAGGGTAAATATTTTGACCTTTGCATTGTTAAGTTATGTTTTGGCAACTTGGGCAAGCGTTTTGAGTTGCCTGGATGTGAGCTTATGTGATTCCTGGCTAGGCTTGAGACAGCCATCTAGTCTTATGTCAATATGTTCAAAACAACAGCCTTTAGCTTGATTTACTATTCCTAAGCATGTGCTTGCAGCTGCCTGACACGACTAAGCTTGTTTTACTGTCTCAAATATGTGTGCTATTTTTTTAAGGCTTTGCTGGATATGTCGTAGATTTGTAATATTTGGTTTTGAACAAAAGTGGTGTTTATGGGTTTGTGGGGATGATGCTTCTGGTTTGTTCTCTGAAAAATGTCCCTGGGTTTCGATCCCCATATTTCAGTGGTTATATTTTACACTTTTTCCTAATCGCTAGATATGGTGAAGATAAACACATACGCATACATGTGCATATAGCCTCTTCTGTAGCAATCCATGTTTTGATGCTTATTTTTCTCAATGTATGATGTCTCTCAGTCTCTAGACCCTTCTTAAATAAGAAATAGATTGAGCGCCAAAGACTTATCTCATCACATGTTTCACGATGAACAGCAAGAATTATCTTTCAGAACATAACAGTAGAGAGGGATTATGTATTTTATGTTTAGTCTTTGGTTCTTGACAGAGTCTTGAAGTAGTAGCAGTATATAGAAATTTATTTTCTAGGGTTGAGTGACTTGTGTCTTGCGACAGACTTTTGTATTAAAGTTGAACCGCTTAGAGCGATGGCAACGGGTCGTGCGTGTGGAAGATACAAGGCGGTTGTGATGAGATTATGCAAAAGCCTGATGTAAGAAACTTCTCTTGTGCTTATACTCTTTATCTTCTGTGTCGTGTACAGGGAACTACTTAGAACATATAATGTGGATTAGGGAGTCAACCTCTGGTATATTCCGTTGGTGGTTTTTCAGGTGTTGAAGTTCTGAGATTGGTTTGGTAGCTGAGAAGAGCTTCAGGCTTTAGACGATGGCAATCTCCACTTAGCAACTGTAGTTTCTCAAGTTCGGAGGTTAGTTTTGTTGTCGTCACTGATAATCATTAATCAAGACTCTACCTTGTTGAGACTCTTGAGCATAAAGATGGTAAGATAAGCCAAATCATTTTCTAGATACTAGATGTTCGTATATTATACACCAGAAAATGTTTGTTTTACCAAACTTATAACCAATAGGGTTTGTATATTAACAGAGTTCAATATCAATCAACTGATCTTGTAACCAAAAGATTAAAGCTTATTCTATTACACAGGATTTTTACTCAGTTATGAAAGTTAAATCAAAACTGCAAAAAAGAAGTTGGTATATTGTAGATAACATATACTGTAATATGCGAGTAAAATATGTTTTACTCTTCCGCTATTTTGCGGGATAGTTAAAAGTTAAAACACAAAAGGCCAAATAAAATGCTTTGTTATATTTTCTGCTTCCACCATTAATCTCCTTTCTGTTTGGATGGTTGTTTCTGTCTTAGGCCCAAACCCGGCCCGATATACTTGACCCGCGTTATCTTTAACAGCTCACCTAACGCGACAAGTTTGACCCGGCCACGTAAGCCTCTCTCTCAACCGTTTTCTCCTTCGTTTCAGCTTAACAACCCCGCGAAAGAAGCTGATCCATAACGGCAAACTCCTCACAGGTTCAGTCAAACACGCCACCATCTCCGCCGTTATCTCCCCCGAACACGGACGCGACTCCACGTCGGACGAAACGCAACGCGCAGCCATCCTCAACAATCTAAGATTCGTCTCCATGAAAACTCCCGATCCTCCTCCACCTCCGCCGCCGCTGAAGATTTCTCCGATCTTACCTTCTTCGATCAACGGAACCGCCCAATCCACAATCGAAGACGGAGATCGAGAGACATCGATCGCTTTTCTACAGCTAACGATCTCCAACAAAACGACGCCGTAGCTGTAAACGTCAGTCTTAACGCTGAGATTCTCCGGAGATGTGTAACACGGATCCAAGTATCCTATCGTTCCCGCCGGCGCCGGCACTTTCTTATCAACTAAATCCACGGCGAGTCCGAAGTCGGCGAGCTTCGGCTCCCAGTTCGAGTCGAATAAAATGTTATCGGATTTGATGTCACGGTGGAGGATACCTTGCTCGTGAAGGAAGTTAACCGCACGTGCGATCTTAACCGCGATCTCGATTCGTTTAAGCCACGTGGGAGGAGAGGAGGATGATGACACGTGGAGTAACTGGTGTAATGATCCGTTTGGCATGAACTCGATGACCATTAGTTTTTTCTCTGCGTGGCCGAGGAATGTTAACACGTGTGGGTTATAAGGGAGAGATGACATGACGTTGATCTCGTCTTCTAGCTTCTTCATTTGTTCTGTTTTTGTTGTGGCTAGAGAGGGTTGTGATTGTGACGATAAGGATGGTGTTTTGATTGCTACGAGTTTGTGAGGTTTGTTATCTTCTTCGTGGAGAAGGGCTTTGTAGACGTAGCCATGGCTTCCTTTACCGATGAGACGTGAAGGTGAGAATCCATCTGTGGCGGAAACAAGCTTCTCGTAATCAAACTCCATGATAATAAGTCGCAGAGAATGAAATAAAGAGAGGCTTGTGTGTATGTCTGTGTGTGTGTGTGTGTGTTAAGGTGTGTAAATAATAATGGGGAAATTATTGAGAAAAGCAAAAGAATGATACCGAGGGGAAAAGCAAAAGGAATAAAGGAATACAAAGCTTTTTTTAATTAATTTTATAAAAGTAATGATGAAACTAAGTTCTTTACCATATTCCTTAGGACATTTTTCATGCTTTTAAGACAGTTGGGTTCAGAATTCAAAGTTTATGGCTTAAAAGCTGAGTCACACTATGTTAAACAACTCATCAGAACACTTTTTCGTTTCTCGTTGCCATATGTTGTTGGCCTAACTGTGAGACAATATCTTAACCGGTACGTTTAGCTAGCTAACCGGTGAGAATAGTGCCTCGCAGAGATCAATATGTAAAGCAATACTTGAGAAAACAAATGAAGAAGAAAAAAAGTCATTCAGGTTACATAGTAGTTCGACGAAGTTTAAGAGTCTGTTGCATTCTGTAATATGCATCTTTGATAAGTTTTCTTTGATTCAAGCACTGCTTAAATGTATTCCATGAAGTGGCACTTTTGAGCTGTTCATGACTATTTGGTTCTTCTCGAATATCATCTTAGAGAGAGGCGATGATAAAGATACATGCAAACTTTGTTGCAACGTGATGATTCAAAGTGATTTGGAGACATGTTGTAGATTTGGTGTATGAACGTCCCGTATGTTATAAAGCTATACTCATCATCTATCATTTTACTTTTTCATAATAAAGTAAGGATTATTTTCACCAATAAAAAGTGTTTAGTTTCTTTAGGATCTTGTTTACAAAAGAAATTGATTGTTTCAAAATTTAGTATCTCACAAGTGATTATTTAAAAACTTATTAAAATGTCACTATATCTTATAGAATAATATTCTCGTACGCATAGAAAAGAAATGAAAAATTCCAAGTAACAAATTTATTATGATATTACAAGCCCCATGCACCAACTATTTTCCTAACAATAAAAAAGTTTAAATATCATCCATAGTACACATCATCAAATAACCAAATTGAAAAAAAAAACACAAATTTAAAAATTCAAATGATCCAAAAATAAGTAAAACTATCATCTTACTTAACCAACAAACATTAAAACACTAATTAACATTCCCCTCATCAATATATTTGTCATAGTATCGATCTACCTCAGAGTCACTCCTCTTGTTCAAATTCACCATCAAGCCATGTTTCATGTACATTGTAAGAGCTAACTTTGGCTCCACTTTGTGACCTTCCACCACCTTCACCTTGTATCGGTAAACTATTGCAGCCGCGGTAGATTTCATCTGATAATAAGCAAAATCTTTGCCTAAACAAAGACGTGGACCACCATTGAAGGCTGTGAATTTATAGGCCGATTCACTCATAAACCGTCCGTCTCTAAGCCACCTCTCTGGCCTAAACTCACGACAGTCTTTTCCCCAAATTGCTTCCATACGACCCATTGCGTAGATCGCATATATAACTTTCTCTCCTTTCTTCAATATTGTCCCATCAGGAAATACATCATCTTCTTGGACCTGAATAATAATAGGTTACTAAAAATTACTATTCTGTTCTACAATTTTTTTCATTTGTTCACACATATTAAAGTTTTCTATTAAACTTACATCTTTTTTAAGTTAAACCAATAAAATTGAATATATAACAAAAAAATATTTATCTATGTGTAACAATTTTTTTGTTATAAATTTTTTATCTTTGTAAAACTGAAAGAATAATACATTTCAGAAATTGGATAGTATCCTCACGCGCGAGGTGATACGTATTTAACATCATAGATTAAAAAAAAAAAAAATTTGAACAACTCATCATAGAAATTTAATATGTATGAGTTTTTAGTGGTTAGGTTTCATGAGGAGAGAGCACAGAACATAACATTCTTATGTGTTACCAAGAAGTCAAACATGTAGTTTATTTATTTCTTCTTTGAAAATGACTTTTATAAGATGTCTACGTATTAACTAGGTGTCTTCCCAAGAATTTTCATAATAACTCTATCTGGTTACTGATTAGGTAACCAATAAGAAACCAAACAGTGATAGATTTTTAAGTTTTTATTTTATTTGTTTGGTTTTATTAGTTTATACGACCTATATTATATCAAGGCTTTTATCTCAGTATAAAATGGAAAAATTAATTAAACAAGCAATCAGTTTTATCTTAATTCTATCTGTTTGCAGTTTATATCAAAACTAGCTTTCTTGGTAAACAATTAACTGAAAACATAGCAGGTTTAGTCAAATGTTACCTCTTTATGATCAACAGGAACTGAAGGGTATAATCTGAGAGCTTCAGACAAAGCAGCTTGTAGATAATCCATCTTCTTGATCTCTTCTGGTCTGAACACAGGCTCATAATCTATCTTCTCTCCATCTCCATCATCATCTCTTTCCCTCAGAATCCTACACATCTCCACCATAATCTTCTCCTCCACTTCTGGATTCTTCTCAAGCAACCAGAAGAACCAGCTCAAGGCAACAGAAGAAGTATCTCTCCCAGCAAGTATAAAGTTCACACATATATCACGAAGAAACTTGTCTGAAAAACACTCTCCCTTCTCATCTCTCAAACCCATAAACACAGTTAAAAGATCTGATCTCTTTGTGGTCTCACCCTCAAGAGACAATTCTTTCTTCCTCGTCCTGATAACTTCATCAGCAAAATCATCAACACCTTTAATAGACTCCTTCAGCATCTTCTCTGTTCCTAGATTAAGATACCTCATGAGCTTCCAAACGCAAGTAGGCATCACGAATCTACAAACCGCAGCTTCTGTTGCGTCCTCAAAGGCTTTCGCAAAGGGTATTACAGGTTGGTCAGGACCAAGACACCCTGGATCAACTCCAAATGCAATCATACATACGTTATCAAACGTTAGCCTCAACAGAACGTCTTGTAGATCAATAGGAGAAGATGCTTTAACCGAAGTTTCAAGAACCGGTAAGAGCCTCTTGTGAACGAGCTCGTACAAAGAATGAGTTGTTAGTTGTCTGAACTTGGTTGAATGAAACTCTATGCTTGCTGTTTTCCTTTGTCTCTGCCAAGTCTCGTCGTCCGCGTTGAATATTCCATCTCCTAGAAGGTCTCGTAGGTTGTCACGGAAGTAAGAGCCTTTAGGGAAGACAGAGAAACGGTTCTTGAGGAGATGCTCGATGTTTCTTGGGTCGCAAGTTATGGTGCTGTTGAGGCTGCTGAGCCAGGGTCCTCTGAAACGAAACGTACCGTTTTGACGAGATAGAGTATCTGATAGCCACTCGTATATGTTTCCTCTGAGGCCAAAAGCTAGAGAAGGAAGCATCCCTAGAAACGGCCACAGGGGAAGACCGTAGTGTTTCTTCTGACGCAAGGAATGGATGGTGACAAAGGCGAAAAGAGCGATAAAGAGTTCAAGAACTTGAACATTTTTTAAAAGAAATAGCCTCCGTGTAACCAAAGGGTCACTGGTGGAAGAAGGAGAAGAGAATAAAACATCATTGAAGGTGAAATTGTAAGAAGAATTGGTATTCATTGTGACAAAATAAAACAAAAGAAGAGAATGATAATCTTGGAAATGAAGAGTGAAGAGAGGTTAATAGAAATAGAGGTCGTTAGTTAGCAAGTGGGTGAAGAATATTTCATGAATTTCTTGTGGGGTGACAAGAAAAAAACTTTGGCTCTCAGGAGAAGATGGGTTTGGTTTGGTGAGCAGACAAATGTTGTGTCTTAATAATATTCCTGCGGCTCTTTGATTCTCGTGTGTGTGTATTACTTTTCTTTTCTTACACTTAATGTAGGGTTTCTTTTGGGGGTTTATGAGAATTTCAAAGGTCGAATCTTTTTAGGGGTTTAAATAGAAAAGTACTTAAGGGTTTTAGATTGTGTTCTTGACCAGAATTGTGAACTTGGTATTCAGATGAGAGGTAGTTGGCTATGGGTAACCTAAGCTAATAGCCTACTACTTTATCTCCATTACATGGCCACGTTTTATTTTTTTTTCTTTTTGTATAAGGAAGTTTTAATGAGTTTTATATTCTCAATAAGCCAAATTAAATGGGGGCATATCTCTCTATTCATCTGTAGAAAACTGATAACACTTCATTTAATTAGGCCAGCTAATCAACGTTTTAATTAGCTAGGTAGTGATAACTGGAAGATATATCTACAACATACTAATCAAAAGGTTGTTCAAAACTGGCGAACATATCTTTAAGCAAAACTATAAGTTTTGTTACATGCAGTATTTATATGTGTACATGGATAAATTACATAAATAGTTTTTTTTTGGTAAACATGTTAGTTTTTTGTATTAATACGTGTACATGGATGGTTATAAAGAATTCGTAAGCTGATGTCAAAAACAAAGTTGTAAGTTAACAGTCTGACACAAAACAATTATGCACAAATATATGAGTGTCAAACTGTTACACACCTAACATTATGTCTGGTTTTAATTCGAACCCCCGCCATTAATGGTCTCTCACCATTGGCTTAATATCATTTCATCAAGGTCTAGCATATTCGTCATAAATATAAGCGATTTTGTTTAAATTTGACCGGTGTATTTAAAAATTTATATTACAAATCAGTGGTTTAAATTGGTATTAATGCACATAATAATTCAAAACAGTATATGTATTACACGTGTGATTCAGTCATATCAAAAGCCTATCAAAAATAATCAATCAAAATAAAATAAGAATATGATAGAATGATTAATCAAGTTGACTAAGTTATTAGGACGTCTGCTTTTCGGTATAATCTTGTTCGTTTCATCAACGCTACTACTTATAGGGGTGGGCACGGATCGGATATCCGGGTTTTTTAAGGTATTTGTGATTTGTTTCGAATGTTACGGATATCTAATTCTGGTATTTGCTTTGCTTCGAAAAAATACGGATATCCGGAAAAACGGATATCCGGAAAATAAATAGATATTTGCGGATATTTACGAATATTTACGGATATCTTATCCATTTTGACTAATACAAATAATCTTAAGATTTTGATACAAATTTTCTTTGCAAAAATATTTTTTTGCATGATATATAAAATAAAAATTAAAAGAACTAGTGAATTTACATATTTTGTAATTTTTTAAAGTTTAAATTACAATTATAATAACACAAAATTTAAGAAAAAATATAATTTTCATAATTTTTCCCTCTTTTTATGTAATATTTTTATATAAGTAATAATGTGAATAGAATTGTTCAAAATCATGTATTGGAATAATAATTATATAATTTTATACATTTAAAATTTTAAATATAATCAAGATATACATATATTTATATATTTCCGGATCGGATCGGATATTCGCTTCCCAAAATTTTAATATTTGTGATTTGCTTTGATTTTAACGGATATTGAATTTTAGTATTTGCTTTGATTCAAAAATTTACGGATATCCGGAATTTTCGGATCGAATCGAAACGAATAACGAATCGAATTAAATATAACGGATAAAATGCCCAGCCCTAACTACTTATGTGTTTGAGTCTGCATCCAAACGCAGTATCCAGCCTCAGACGCCAAAAAACAGTTATAATTAAATTCCGTGTCTATCTAATCTATTTATTGTTTTACCCTTAATTTAATTTACTAATTACAAAAAATACTTAACCGAATAAACGCAGAACTAATAGACGTAGACGCATCCTTTCTTCTCCACAGAGGCAGCCATTGGCTTATTTAAAATTTAATAGTATACTAGGTAAATCCGCCCTATAGGCGAGCGTGTAAATAAAATTATATGATAAATTTTTTAAATTAAAATTTAGTATTAATAAGGTTATAATTTTTTACAACAATTTTATCTATGTATTTTACTATTTTTAGCAATTATAATGACTCATTTAATATAGTGTCAATATTATCTCACAGTTATGTATGTTTTTTTGTTTTCACACAATTTTACAAAATAATGATTAATTTTTATCCTGATTAATATGTATATTAATCTCAGATCTCGAAGTTTATAAGAAACAATCGAATTTGTTAGCACATGATGGTTTAAATTACAAATTTGTTAAAAATTATTTTGTGCTTTAGCAAGAATTTGTTAGCACATGATGGTTTAAATTAAAAACATGATGGATTTGTGCTTTAGCAAGAAGTTGTTAGCACATGATGATTTAAATTAAAAATGGTTTACAATTTTTTATAAATATAAATTTTGAGTTAAATAGGATTCTATTCAAGTTAGATGTTTATGACCGTGACATATTGAGAGGAACGGTCAAGAGACATTAATGGAATCTAAATCTTGTAGATTGATCAATGATCTAAGGTGTAGCTGGATTTAGAGAGTCTGTGAGATCTCTAAACATATAAATTAGTATATATATTGACATATTTCCAGACATGACATTATAACCAGTACTTAAATATTCAACGCTTAGAAATATACTACACAGCCATAACCATACTTAAATAAAACTTATATTATTTATATATTTTTGCTTAGAAAATGATTATCCATTGCATGTTTTATCTCTTCACCTCACTTTAAAAATCTTGAATATAACCCTTGTCAATTTGTGTCATAGGTGAACGAAGAGACGATGAAGTCGCACTCATTATCCAATTTGTCTACAGAGCAGCAAAAATGTTTGATGATTCTTTATTTGAATGTCCCTTGACAACAAAGTGAAATATATAGTTTAGTAAGACATTATTTGAGAGTACTCTATCTATATACATATAGTGAAAATATGTTTCGAAACAATATATCTCTTGTAAGGGTAGCATAAATTATATAAAATTCTATGATAAAATATCTAGCGCAAACTTCCCATAGTAGATTCCTATATGATTATGTATAATCTTTCATTTAAAATTGATTGAAATTAAATCTTGAAATTGATTGACATTAAATCTTATAATTGGTAAAACTCCTAATAATGTGTATATATCGTTTGCTCTCTGGTTTAGTATCTCTAGTAATTGGTAAAACTCATAATAATATGTATATACCTTTTGAGTTTTGTTTCACTGGTTAAAGCTCATGTGTTATGGTTCATTGTTGTTATTCTCTGTTTCATGTAATCATTTTTTATTAAAAAAAAAAATTTATCATGGAAAAATAAATACATGTTTACATTTTCTTCAATAAATTAAATCTGATTCGGTTAAGTCTAAAAATTTGCAGCAATCTCAAATGTGGTGGTAAAAATAGCTTCTTTCTCTTGTTCTTCTTATATCACAAATCAATGTTTAGATTAATGTTTTCAAGTGGCGATAAATGAAGACATTATAAAGAAGATGGAGAAACACAATATTATTGAGTCTTTCATATCTTGCCACATGTTCAAAAATGTTCACCTCTCTTTTGATGATGTGAACACCTTAAAAGGAAATCTCTTCTCCTTTATATATATAGATTTAAGATAAGAGATCATATAAACTATTCAAAATGTTATTATTTATATAAAACTAGGAATCCAGATGTGCCATTTGGTCGGTTTAGTCCAGAAGAAGAAGCTACTATGAACTCCATAGAGACAGCTAGGTAAACAAAGACTCTTCAATAAGCTCAATTAAGGTCATCGTTCCTCATAGTAATGTTGTTTGATACATATTTTCCAGCCAGTACCCGTTGTCCATCGTCTTGGTTGGAGTAGGAGATGGACCGTGGGACACAATGAAACAGTTTGATGACAATATCCCTAACCACGATTTCAATAACTTCCAGGTAAAAATATAACAAACCAAGCTGGTTGTTTCTTTTTGCACATGATGATGATAAGTGAAAAACTGTGTTTTGTTTTCAGTTTGTGAGTTTCACAGAGATAATGCCAGGGCACAAAGATGCAGCTAAAAAGGAAGCTGCTTTTGCACTAGCAACTCTTATGGAAATTCCTTTTCAGTACAAAGCTACATTAAGGGCTTGAGTGGTAACAACGCAGCGACAGTGGTTGCGGTTGCGGGCGTTTGTGAATGCAGGAAATTGCGGTTGCGGGCGTTTGTGAATGCAGGAAATTGCGGTTGCGGGCGTTTGTGAATGCAGGAAATTGCGGTTTTAAACGTTAGTAAGAGATTTAGACGACTGGTTCAATGGTTAAAAATTGTGGCGTTTGTGAGATACTTATGACTGATTTATTATCAAATACTCCAGCTGTTAAGTAATAAATTAGCAATATTTATATTTTACATAATTATCAAAATATTAAAATCATATTTTCATAATAAATATAAAAAATTTACTGATAAAACTGTAATATTAAATTTTTAAAAAATTAAATATTTTTTTTGGAAATTTTATAATATAAATATTGAGGTATTTCAGTTATTTTAATTGAATATTTTGTTTTTATATTTATATAGTTTTCTGGAAAAAGATATTTTTTATTCTCCCGTAATCGCCCGCAACCGCAAACGCTAGCTAGAATCAGTTTTTGAATTTTAGAGATTCAGAGCAATTTGAAGCTTATAGCGTTTTCTGTGATTGTTGCAAAACGCTAACAACCACTACCAACCGCAATATTTTCGTTTGTGAGGGATGGCGGGAGAACCCGTCAAACCCTAAGTCTCGAG